TTATGCCCAAAAAATAACTTTCAGATCTTTAAATTTTTTGGTTACAGAGATAGGTTGCTTTGTTTGAAAATCGAACTTATGAGATTTACAGAAAACGAAAAATTTTATTCCTCAAAATAAGTGCATTTTATGGTTGGGCATTAAAATTTACACATGGGAAATGAGTTTCACGAAAAAATCTGGGCATACAACTGAGAAAATAGAGATCGAAGTTTCAACTTTGACCTCAATTTTCTCGAAAACTGGCAACAGGAGAAACTTTTCAATGGTACTAATGGACGTAGTTTTTATGTACCTACAAACTAACAGAGTTTAAATTGACAGTAAACTAATTTCTGTGCGTTTTTGGCCATTTGTGTACAAGTTTAATGCAGAAATGTTACAATTGTGTTTATTGTGTCTTTTTAGCAACAAAAGCATTGATTTATGGTTGAGGATATTGTTTTCTAATGAAAAATGGATAATTTTACACAATATTTTTGGACAATTAGGTTTCTTTAATGCACCGTTGCAATTCCTGGTTTATTCTGAGCTTATTACTCGAAAGTTAAACCGATAAAAAAGGTCTCTTTTCTTTTTCTTGACCCTTTAAGCTTTTGGACTTCATTAAAACCCTGCAGTTGGTGCTACTGACTAATAATATGATCTCATCTCTTTATTTCAACGCTATATTAAATGTTGAACTGTTAGTTCATTCTTGGCATTTATGATGTCGTAAAACGGTATACAGAAAGCAAACGGTTCCACCGAAAATTGAACTATTTTACAGAAAAAGAAAAGTTTTATTTCTTAAAATAATATCATATTCTGGCTGGTCAACAAAAGATACAGCAGTACTGTGAGTGTTATGAAAAAATCTGCTTCTATGGCTGCACAAAAAGCTTTGTAAGTTTCAACTTCGAACCCGATTTTCTCGAAAATTGTTTTTCGAATAAGTTTCTAATAGTTCTATTGGAATTGATTTTATGCTTCTTTAGACTCTCAAAGTCTCAACTTGTAACTCGGATGAAACATTGAGATATTTAGATGTTTACCTTGGATGGATAAAGAGAAATGAAAATGAATTTGTTTATTTCATTTTCTGGTTTGATTTAATCTATCATTGAAAATTGAATTTCTTCCAACATTCTACATTTCAGAGAATTGAATTGCATTGGTTTTCCTCACTTGCATCTTCATCTTCATTTATCAAATTAGGACGAACCTGAATATATCATCTAATTTCGTTGTGAATACAAAAAGAGCGACTTGACTTTTCAAAGAGACTTTTTGATGCAGAAAAATGTAAATTATTTGAATAACTTTAAACAATTTCCAACGAACAAGGTATAAAAGAAAATGCTTTTCCCTGAAAAATCTAGATAATAAAGTCTGATAAACATCTGGATTGAGTTGAAATTTTTTGTCAAAAAGTGTTTCTTTTCGAAGAGCAAAAAAAAGGCAATTTTCTTTCATGACAACGTTTGTCTATTAATTCTGTTAAGCTTGATATTTCTCTCTTCATATTCACCAAGTTGAGTGGCTCTTAAGGTGAAAAAAACAACTGAAACATGAAACAAGAAAAGCAGGGAAAGAAGCAGATGAAGAGAAAAAAAAGGTTAACTTTAATCCGAATCTAATAGAAGTTCATGTTTATTTTAGTAACCTTTGAATTTAGTGTAACTCATTTCAGCTTCTTCTTTATCTTACCTGAGTATTCACAATGCAACTGAACATTGAGTTGGAAAAATAAATAAAAAAGTAACTCAAAAGGGAAAACGAAGAGACCTCAGAGGTTCATGTTTACATGAGATTCTAGTTGGAAAAAATTCCAATAAAATTTGTTTCTTCCAATGGTTAATGTTGATGCTAAAAGCTGATTCGAATCACACAAATGATTGAAATTAATTGACTGATTATTAAACATTTTTCAGCCAATAATGAGATTGTAAACTGGTCATGATTCATGGAAAAATCTGTAACTCATGAGCAACAATTATTTACTTTATTCTTTTTGCTATTAACTTTTATCGATTTTTTCATTTTCCAGTTCTGTCTTCAATTACTTTGTTATTTTTCTCTTCTTCTCTTTCTTCTCCAATCTTTCCAATCTTTAGCTAATCCCTGGAATTATTTTCATGATAAATAGTACATGAACTGATATGACAGAATGGGCTTCATGAATGGTTAAAATTCAAGCCTTTAATTCACATTATTCAAAGTAGAATCTCCTTTTTCCTTCTCTTGGCTGCTCATTAATAACTTGAAAGTCTCTGCGCTATTTTTGTTTGGTTCAGCTTTTCAATCTTAATTTTCATTTGTTCAACTGATGTGTTGACAGAGTTAACATGGGCCATGTTGCATTGTTGAAAGTTCATTGAAACCATTAGACAAGTTTCAAGGTTGGGTGTGTTTCCAGTGTTATTACAATAAATCATCGTTTCTCTTTCAACTTGAAATGATTAACTTGTTTATTCCAATGAATCACTTGTCTCTTTCAATGGAAATGTTAGTCTTTTTCTTTCACAATTTTTATGATGAATAACAGAACTTTTCCACACAAAAAGTGTTTCTTTGAGCAAATTTCAGTGAACAATATTAGCGATGAGAAATGATAATTTGCTAAGCAAAGCGCTATTATAAATGCTCTTTTTATGGCAAAACCTAACTTTGTTTGCAGACTTTTTCAAACATTTGCATCTCTATTACATTATGTTACCGATGAAGGAAAAATCTTATTTTGAATTGCTTCGGAAACTCAGTTGATTGTCAATAATTGTTTGTAAATTCAGTGGATAAAACATAAATATTGAAGAACAATAAAATAAGAGTTTGGACAAATCTAGAAAATCGAGGAGAAGCAAGGGAATTGCTTAGCAAATTGATCAATTGATATTTCAAGTGGAGTGCGTTTTTTGATATTTGAGCAAAGTCAGAAGCTTTTTTGAGCGATTCGAGCACAGGTTTTGATAGAAATTGTTTTAATTTACATTTTAAGGCTTTTTGAAGTAATTGTTGAATATTGTTTGAGAAGTATTAAGCAAATTGAGACCAAATAGCTCACATCTTTGTTAACATTTAACCAACTCATTGGTGATCATTCATGTCTTAGCTTTCTATTAATAATGAATAATAATTTTTCCAATCCTTTTCAATGCAAATTTCGGTGCAAAATAGTTGAACTTACTTCTATTAAAGCTTCAAACATAAGATTGAAAAGAGCTAATTTATTTACCAAAATTCACATCGAACCCATCAATCATTGAAAGCTAATGTTTTCATATTCAAGTTAAGTCTACATTTGCTGGATGCTTCAATCAGTCAATTTAGCTAACTCTTTCTGACAATTTAACTTAATATAGAAAGATCGGTGAAGTTTTGTAGTCTATCGGCTAAAAAGTTTGCTATTCAATTCTGGCATTTTTACCGTTGCCGATTCGAAAGCTAAGCTAAGTTTATCAACTCGATCGAATTCCGATTTTTAGCATTTATACTTTAACTCTTTTGCATCTTTACCCAAATTTCAATTTGGATCAAATTGTAAAGGAATATTCAGAAACGGATTTCCATTCGTTTACATGTTTCACTGAAAATTCATTATCAATTGAATGTTCAAAATTTTGTCGTTGAAATCAACTGTTCTATTTATACTTTCAATTGACTGAAAATTCAGGTCTTTTAGTGCAACTTGTTTCGAGTAATCTGTAATCATTTTTGGTTAATTTTCCCTGGAATAAACTCTTTCAACTTGTTCATGAATTTAAATAATACAGATTATTCTGGTTGAATTTATTATTCAATTTTTTCTTATTACATTATGATGTTCATACAATAAGTTATTTTTGCTCATGATTAATCTGTTGGCAACAAAAGATTACAAAAAAAATGAACAAAAATTAATCTGATTCATCGTCAAGCCCATGGTAAACATTGAAACTATGAAAGGATTGGTCTTGACAAAAATGAGTTAAGATTCAATCTAAACATTGAAAGTGCATTTAAATTACTGTTGGATAATTTAATTATAGTCGATCCATTTCATTGAGTAATAAAAGCTTTTGAATAATTTCATGAACAATGGAACAAACTAATTCCTCTTGAATTATGTAAAGTGAATAATGTAAACCTAAAGCAACCTTGAGCCAGCATAAATTGACCCGTAATCAAACCATAAAAATTAACCTTAAAAATAGAAAATTTAATGACCATCATGATAATTAGTTGAATGCTTTTCCAAACAACATTCAACTGAGTCAATATCATGTTGACCATAAAATGAATGAAACTGTTGAAACAGTAAACTTGATTGAAATGAAAACTAAACAGCAATTGATTAGATAATGATTGACTAACAAGTTTCAATTTCATCAATAATGACATTTCCAGGGATGCTCATGATTACTCAAATTCAACCATATAAGATGCTTCAATCTCATGGGAAATTATCTAGAAAGGATCATTTTCGGAAAAGACTCAAATTTTATTAATATTATCTTTGTATTAGTTTAATAGTTGCTTGTCAATATTTGTCAATATAAGTCGTTTCAATTGTTATAAAAAGTCTGTCAGTTGAACGCTCATTTTTTATCATTATATTGAACCAATGGGTAAACAACCCAAAATTGATCATTTTTCAGACTTGCAAATGTTCGGCTTATCAGAATATTTGGACATGGAAAGTTCATTGACGGTAAAATGTTTCCAACCGTTGGAAGAAGCTTCTCGCATTATAATTTCAAGCTTTCAATTTTTCGATTTTTACTCGTTTCTCTTCTCAATCAATTCATTTAGTCAGTTGAAATAAAACATTCAAAACGAAACATTTTAATCTGTTCAATCAATATCTATTGATTGAGTTGTAATGAAAATCAAGAAATGATTTAAATGAATGATTCTTCTGTTGAATAGGGAAAATGGATTTTAATGTAAAGATTGAAATCAAGGTTGAATACAAATTGTAACATTTTTTATGCTTTTGCTTTTGGAAAAAATCTGAATCATTTTTTTTCTTTTCGTTTAAGGGTTGATCTGATGATGGAAGTTGCATCTGAGGCCAATATTGCAAGTGGATGTTCATCTGGTTCCAATCATGCTGGACCCTCTTCAACTGATGCTCCTGGATTTGATGATTTCCTGCAATCGGGCAGAACTGGAAGACGAAATGCTGTTCCTGATATTGTCGATGAAAATGGGTCTAAAGAATCTTTGCCTGAAATTGTTTCAGAAGGTTAACTGATCGCAACTGAAAACATTAAATGTTTATGAATGACATTTGAACAGGATTCAGTCTGTTGTGCTATTTAGTCGGCTAATGTGCGATCATTGGGACAAACAGTTGGTAAGAAGTGCCCTTAGTTGTGGGGATTCACTGGATGAAAAGATTGATAGCCATTGAAACATAAATCCCTTTCAACCGAACCCACTTTTTAAACATTAATCTCATTGATGGTCATTATGAGTCTCTAGTCATGTTTAATCGCATCAATAACTTTGTGTCAACATTTCTTTGTCAATCAATGTAATACCAAAATTGTTCGTTAAGATAATCAATACTGTCAATCAGTCGATATCTATTGCTATTTTTTAATTAAAACAAAATTGTTAACAATTTGTCTTCGCTTTTGGAAAAATTGAAAAACAATTTTCACGAAAAATTTAAAAGCAAAAATATGACATTCAATTTATAAGATAAGTTATGGACTAATTGCAATAGTAATCAACTTTCTTTGGCAAATGAGAGGAAAATTTGTTCCAATGTTGTTCCACTTAGAGTGAAATCTTCAATCATTAAAGCACCTTTTCCATGGTCTAATGATCGTAACATGTCACCCCACCGAGATGAAGTGTCAGTTATATGGTAATGAAGTATCGTCTGATGGAAATCACGCAATATTGAACTTGGAAATTCATCTTTGATAAATTGCTTGATTCTATCAATTTCGTCTTCTTTCTTTAGAGCTTCTTGGTCAATCTTAATAATCAATGTAAATCCTTGTCCAAACTTTTCCTTCAAATGTTGAGTTGATCCTATTTGAAGACAAAAGGTATCCACTTAGATTTCAATGAATAAAATGAATCATCAATCAATATAAATACCTAAACATTTAAAGTTTCCTCTTGCCATTATACCAATCCTGGAGCATAAAGCTTCACATTCATCCATAGAGTGACTTGTTAATACAATTGATGAGCCACTTGTATCTCGAAGATGCATTAATGTTGACCAAATTTTACGTCTCGAAGCCGGATCTACACCAGTGGTTGGTTCATCAAGAAACATTACCTTAGGCCTGGCAATGGAAGCAATTGCCAACGACAATTTCCTCTTATTGCCTCCACTCAAATTTTGATTGCAAGTTTTTGCAAATTTTGTTAAATCGGTTGAAGTGATGATATAATTTACATTGTCTTTGACTTTATCTTCAGGCATTCCTATTGCAAGAGCAAATTGTTAGTGCATTGAGATGGAGGTCGAGATTAAAACTTACCTCTTATCCGAGCAAATAGAGTCAAAGTCTCTTGTGGAGTTAAGTTGTCAATCAAAGCATCAAATTGAGGACAGTAACTGATTGATTGTTGAAAGTCTTGCAGGTTGTTTCTCAATGAATAGGATTCAAGGAAAGCGTCTCCTTGAGTTACCATTGCATCACCGGTCAACATTCTGAATGTTGTTGTTTTACCAGCTCCATTGATGCCAAGTAACCCAAAACATTCAGCTTTATGAACGGCAAAATTGATTTTATCAACGGCTCGAAATGATCCAAAGTCTTTGCTCAATTCATTGACGACCAAAGCTTCGGAGTCAATCTTTTTTGATTGGATCAATTGTTGAACACGATGTTTCTCAGCAATAACGTCTTCGTCTTCAACTACTCCTTGAGTTTCAGGAGCTTCTAATAATTTTTTCTTGACTGTGTCGTACCAATAGATGAGTCTATGTAAATTGACATCCAGTACTATCAAGATGACCGTGTAAAGAATCGAGTCTAAAGTAAGCATTAAAATTTCGACTAAAATTCCATCTTTGGACCATTTAAATGGATTGAATGAGATCAATTCTGAATTTTCATTGCAACAAAGGCGACGAGAAACGGTGTTGCCAGGATCACAAGCATTGATTCTCGAACATTCAGAGTGCAATTTTACCGCTCCATAAACCTTGGACAACCCAAAGGACATGGCAAAAGGTGGGAAAAGATCACCCAAAAGAACGTGAAGAGATTTTATTTTGCCGAAAGAAACTAGTGAAGCTGCCAATGCTGAACCAACCAAAGTACAAACTAATGATATTGTTGTCAACAGGGAGAATCCTCGATCAGGATTCATTGGTAAAAGGGAAAATATGTAAAACAAAGGAATCGATGATAAACCATGAAGTAAAAGAAGTAAAAAAATAGAACCTGAAAATGAACGAAAAAAACAATTAGTTACATGTCTGGTTGATTTATGCTTAAAATAGATTAGTTACCGAAAGCTTCTATGCTGGTGAATATGAATTGATCAACGACAGTAATGGTGATCAAGATGATTATAGATACAATTATGTGGTAAGAAAAGTCAAAAACCAAGTGACTGAACCAGAAAATGGGCGCTTTGATTCCGCTCATTCTTTGGATTAAGTTGGCCTGTAATGAGAAGTAAAATTAGTTGAAGAGTGAAAATCAAAGTCTTATTAACAAACCTTATTTTGGGCTTCAATAGATGGGAATAGGAAATATGAACAAGAAATGAGAGCGAAAGCGATTGGTGCAAATATAGCTGAAACAATTTGAGAAACTGTAGATGTAATAAAAGGTTCGTTTGTTCCTCGATTTGGCATGGCCATTATTGTCGTGGTAGCCTTTGACATCTGATTGCCATTGAAGTGAAGCCTAATCAGTGCGTTTGTCCATGCATCTATCGTCAATGGCAAGGATAGTGCGACTCTCGGGTTGAACCATAAAGCAAAGCCTGAAAGTTTGGATGGATCTTCAATGAGACCAAAAATGTTGTCTCTCATGAATTCATCAGCACTTTGGTTACTTGTTTTCATATATTCATTGAGGGACAGAGAAGCTGGAATATTGACAACTTCGATTCCTGCCTTTTCCATAATTTCGTTGTAGGCTTTGATGAAGGGTAGATTATTAGTGAATGTTGCTCGAACAACAGCTTTAGCATTTGGTCCATAAATCGATTTCAAATTGAGTTCAATTGGATAAGGATAATCCAATTGTTGGCTTGGAGTAAAAGAGTATGTTGTACTTGTTGCAGCCAAAAATGTGAACAGTAAAACAATCACAGGAAGAATGATGGTGAATCCAATTGTTTTGTAATGTCTTTTCGTGTAATTAACTCGTTTCATGAGAAGTCCCCTCATTCGTTGAAGAAACAAGGGCAATCCATTGAGTCTCTGATAACCCAGAATTTTATTCAACTCAAACAGTTTATCTTCAATTTGAACTCTAGTTTGTTCACTTGCACCGTCATCTTCAGAAACCTTGAGGAAAACATCTTCAAGAGTAGTCACTGAAATCCCATAGGAAGTGATTCCCAGTGAGTTTGAATTTTCATCCAGGGAATCACAGAGTTGAGCCAAAGTTGCTGTTGATAAATCTGCAGTGGATTTAATTCCTGAGCTTAGTTGGTAAACAATTTCTTCATTAGTTTCATTGGTGGCAACAGCATTGGGAAAATGAGCTTTCATCGTATCCAGTAGACTATCTTGATTAAATGATGAAACATTTTTAGCTATTCTAATTGAGTTTCCAGTGCCAAATCGATGTTTCAAAAACATTGGACTTCCAGAACATTTAATTTCTCCAGACGACATAATAACTATACGATCACCTAGAGCATCGGCTTCCTCCATGAAATGGGTTGTCAATAAAATGGACAGATCTTTTCTCAATTCCAATAATAAATTCCACAATTGACGACGAGATTCTGGATCAAGGCCTGATGTTGGTTCATCCAAGATGAGCGTTTCTGAAGCTGTTGATAAGGCCAAAGCCAACTGAAGACGGCGTCTCATCCCACCTGATAAATTACAAGCCAATGTATCAGTTTTATCCGTTAAATTGACTCTCTCTATGTTTAATGGTATCAATTGCTTTTTCACTTCTCGACTTAAACCTCTCAAGCCAGTAACAAGCTCCAAATTTTCCGTCACAGTGAGCTCTTCAAATAATAGATCAGTTTGTGGACACAAGGCAAGACAACGACGAGCTGCAACAGTATCTTGATGAAGGTCTATGCCATTGACCAAAACCTTTCCTGCTGAGGGTTTAAGTATTCCTGTAATCATTGACATTGTTGTCGTTTTACCGGCTCCATTGTGACCCAAAAGAACTGTTATTTGGCCTTTAAGGATATTCAAGTTTAACCCATTAACAGCAAACTTTTTACCGCCAGTTGAACCAAAGGATTTGTATAAATTGATACACTGTACACTGGGTTTTAAAAGAGGCGGCTCTGGTTCATATCTCATGTTGGTGTTGCCATTGAGATCGTGTGTAGTTGATCCATTCATTTCAATGTCTTCAATTGGTTTATTGAAAAATGATGAAACTGGGAAATGCCATGGTTTTGGTGTTCCTGACTGCCATGGCCAAACTGCATCTAGATACCAGATTAGCAAGCTGTAGACAAACCAGGATACAACTGCAGTTAGATAAATGTATCCAAGAACAAGAGTTTCTGGTGATTTAACTGATTTAAATATGCTAGACCAAGATACACCCTTTACCGATGCTCCAAAGTAAAACATGTCATAGATTGAAAAGTGCAACTGGCCACTTGGAAGGAGACAAGACCATACTTTGGGTGAAATGTATAATAATTTAAGGGTCGATGTACTGGCAGCAACCGGTAAATAAGCCAATCCAGCTCGTCCAACGATGACAAGTAAAACACCGATAATGGGTCGATTTAATACGGTTGTAAAGGTAAACGTAAATAAAATGTTGCTAATCGAAGTGATGAGATAATTGAACCAAAATAAACTTGCACTCCAATTGCCATAAGGATTTTTGTTACTAAAAACAGAGTAAATGATTGTGATGAAAGTTGCATGAAATATGGATAAAGATAGATAATTTATAAAATGTGAAATCCAATAAACCAAATCGCTTAATCCCATGATTCTTAGCAATTCCTTTGAATTGGTTACCTTTTCCCGAATCAAGCGTCGTGTTATAATGGATGCTAAATAAATTAACCCAATCTCTAGGAAAGCATAGGCCTCAATAAAATTGAAAGTATCGATTTGAAATGAACTTTGTGAGGCTGGTTTTGGGTTGGAATCAGTTTCTTTCTCATGCGATGGATTTCCTTCATTGAACAACTTGGATGTGTAGACATACTCCAAATTTGCTTCCTTCAATGATGCGAAATCGGGATAGTTGGCCATCAAAATATTGATCACTGATTGCGTCCTAATATAGTCTTGATAAGTGTTCAATACTGGTTCACTGTAAGGTCCTTCATATTCAATTGTTGGTCCTCCTATTGTATAATTGGCAATCCCTTTGTCAACATCCAATTCATGGAAAAAGACGGCAGTGTTTGAATTACGGAATCTTTCGTCAACTGCATCTCCCCAGGCCTTGACCACGGCTCTGTCGTTGGCCAATGATACGCTCCTTAAACTACAAGCGGAAAATTTTGGAGGCAACAGTTTTGAAGCAACATCGTTGGGTGAAGTGTAATAAATATGTGCGCCAAATGAATTGCAATAAAATGTCTGTGAAAAATAAACATCACTTGAATATTTCAAAGGCGGACTGTTTTGTCTGACAACTTTTGATTTAGGCGCAGCAGATGATGACAGATGAGTCGTTCCTTGATCGTCCAAGATCCAGATATGCAACAGAACCAGTAAAATCGGCAAGAAAAATTCAAACAATGAAGATATCCAATGTCTCTTCCTGATGAGCTGATCTTTTATTAACATAGATTTCAACTGGCTCCAATAAACAAATGCCATTTTTACACTTTTTTAGCAGGTCTTTAGCAGTGAAGTAAATAAGTAACACTGATTTTAAATCATTCAATTAAGTTATTGATGCTTCATCCTTCATTTAGAAGGTTTGTCAAACAATTAGTTAAATATTCACAATTGAAAGAAAAGGACAATTTGCTAATCAACACTATGATTGGTTAGTAGACCCTGAAAGGTAACTTTTTATATAAATGGTTTTTACTGAAAGTATTGATAGTAAGAGTGGTTTGACTCTTCATATTTGATAATGGATGGATGAGAAAGGTAAATATTAGATTGATAAGTGGATTTGAAAGTGACTAATATTTGATAGTATTAGAATGAATTGATCATGAAAATGAGCGAGAATAATTAATTCTGCGGTTTCCGAGAAACACATCTAACAAAATCTGCGGCTAATCACTGGCTTTTGGCAATAATCAAAAATATCTTTACATTGACTGCTGTCAAGTTTCATCAAAAATTGAAATATTGTATTAAAGATGAGAAAAATGATGATTAACAGAATGACTAACACATTATATCCATTTATTGATATCAGCTAATCAATGAGACCAACCAAGGTTTGCCTTTGGATAACTAAACAAGTCTTTGATCTAATCCAAGTTATTTTGGTCTAGCAGTTCAAAATCATTCATTGTCAATGGAGTAACACAATAAACAGACTGCATAATCTGAACCCATTTCCAGCAAAAAGTTCATTACCGTATAAGCGATTCACACCAGAATTTTAGGAAATAATTGAAAATTTAAAGCCTTTCTTAGATTTAAGAATTTTAATTATTGAAGCAAAAATTTAAATCGAAATCATTTCTCCTCGCATACTTTTCTCGAAGAATCATCTATTTTTTGATTGCTGTCATTTGCATTTTAATTTGAACTTGATTTTGCAAACAATAGCTGAATCAGTTATTTAATAAGAATATCATAATATTATAAATTCATTGAATCGAATTCAAGGGAGATCTAGATTTCGATTAATTTTCTAATCAATGAGCGTGTTAATTTACAGTTAAACATGAGGTTAGTCACTTTCAATTGAATTTGAAACGAGATAACTCGTCATTTCTCATTAAAAGACTACTTTCGATATAATCAAATCATTTTTATGTTTGATATTTTAATGATTCTAACCATTAAGCCAGAATCTAATCAAAATCGCGAGATACCCTAACCATCATAAATAAGCTGTTATGATGAAAATGAGATGAAAAATAGTTGTAGTAGCAGTAGTAAACCTCACACACTTTGAATGCCGGAGGATTTCTCAGTAGTAGAAAAAAGTTTATTCCCTTCACCTTTACCTTGCCTTTGGTTAACAATGGTCAGTAAAAAGTACTTGCTTTCTATGCATTGTTTACCTGACCCAGTGGATTCATAGAATATTGATAATTTATTGAATATCGATAGCTCGTGATTGTTTCAAAATTCAATTTAAATCAAAATTCCTTGACCACCACTGACCTTTGATCAACATTAATCAATTGAAAAGACGAAAGGTTGAGAAGAAAATTTTGCGTCTAGTTTTTGGCTGTCTAGCTAATTGTAAAAGGTAACAAGAATTGTCTGAACGCTCAAGGTTATTCTAGGTCAATTCTCAATTTAATCTCTAATTTAAAGTGGAAGGTCATTTTCTGCTATCGCAATAATTTTAATATTAGTAAAAGTAAGTCACATGTTCATTACTCACACTGGTCTAAGGATACGCATGATTCCATATCGTCCAGCTTTTTAATGACATCTAAAGGTTGAAAGTCGAGTTTCTGACAAATGACTTTATATGACCTTGAGAATTTTCGAAAATTTTACACAATAATACACAAGTTATATATGTATTGAATTGTATGTTTATATTTAATGATGCAATATATACAGGAATTTAATGTTCTTTTCAAACGTTCAGCTAAAGCACATTTTATTGCAGCATCAGCTGTGCTGAATTAATGTAACCAATGATATGATAAAGATTTGCATATATTATTGTTAACTATTTTAATACTTATTTACCCTTTTCCTAGAAGCACATGAAACATTTTCATTAACTTGTCTATTCGATTTTTTACAAAGCATTCCCGGTCAAGTTTTCAAGGACAAAAGAGAATCCCATTACAGTAAATCCTCTCAAAGGTTGTGAGATACTGAACTCCCCCATCTAGCGGATTTAACGTTTTACCCAGCTTTTGCAACGAGTTGCACAAACAATGTCGCTAGGGGCAGGACCGCTTACAACCTTTGAGAGTACAACCTTTAGGTTTTACTGTACTTGAAAAATGAGCACCTTGATAAAGCAATAACGTGGTTGAATTTCAAACGTGATGTTCATGCAATGGTAGGAAACACTGATCGATACGTGCCAATCGCATACTACATTGGCTTTGACATCCTAGCTAAGAACGGAAAAAATGTAGAAATTTGATATCACGTATGCGGTGACTCTGCTAGATTTATTCTTGTCTAAATACGTTTTTATCCTATAAATCTGTTCGCAGGTATAACTCACGAACGAATAAAGCTACAAACTCAAATTTGAACCATGAGCTTTCGCGAATTAAAGTAATATAAGTTAGAACTCTAAAGATCATTAAAGGTTAAACTTTTATTTGACAAATTTATTTATTTGAATTTATTATATGTACATAGCTGGAATCAATAACTGTAGTACCAAGAAAATATATATAAGCGCTGCACCTGATCAGACGCCCTAGTCAGTATCTGATAAACTGGTTATAAAACTCTAAGTTCACGATCTTGCTGGATAGTATATAATCCAAATGAATAGAATCAAACCAAACGTGAATGTAAGCGTTTGGCGAGACGGTCGCTTTCCATTGATGATTACTGTTTCACTCGCTATCGAATGAATAAAAAAAACATGAAATTAGGCTAGGAATTGTTTGTCGTTGATGATGATGATGTCAAAATGATGAGCAATATCTCCCACAAATCCAAATTCCATATTTATTAATTTTTGTTAAAAAACACTGTAAATAACTTAATATTGGTGACCAAGGTTAATTTAAACCTTATATTTCATTAAGAGACTTTTGAAGTGAAGCATTCAGATTAATAAGTGCCAAAGTCATAGTAAAAAGTGATTGGAATGACTATGAAATCAAATCTCAAATTTTGGTTAAAATTTGAATGGAATAAAAACAGCCGTATTTCATGATTAACACGAACGCTATGGAATCACTCATATCCTTTTGCCAGTATCAGTTGTGAACATGCAAATTTTCAGATCAGCTAATGTTAGTCACATGTTCATTATTCGATCTGAAAATTTTTGCGGTGTCAGAAAATGAGCTTCCGATGTCAATTAGAGGTCAAATAAAGAATTGACCTTAAATAACCTTGAAAGTTAGTTGAATGTCCAAAATGCCTTTTCCTTTCATTCCAATGGTATCTAGAAGAGAAAGCGCAAGAGAAAAATATCATTAGTGAATGAATATTAATGTTACATTTACATTCCATTAGCTGATGTTATTCTGGCCTAATTAAGTTGTCGAAACCGCAATTTTATTGTATCATACTGTGGACTCTTTCAGGGTATATTTTATTCAATTTAAAGATGGCCTCGGCCGCAGATACACCTTTTAAATATAAATATTTTACATACAGCGCGCATTTCATCGTCGGCCATCCAGAAAAACTCAATGACTTTACAACAGTTTGAAAGAACAAAGAATGCTTTGATAAAGTTGCAGACTATCTAGAAAAGCATGTTTGCATGAGGTACCAGAATGAAACATCGACTTTTTAGTTGTATTAGGAAAAATAGCGAAATCTAACTCTAACGCGATTTTAAATATTTGCTTACTCTTGTTGGTTAAATTAAATAAAACATATTGAATACGTGCTTAATGAAAAATATTTATTTAAATCGAGTTAATTTATCAGATTGTATAAATTAAAGGGGGAAATCTTTGAAGACAACGTTCTCTAAGAATTCTGCGACATTTTCATCGAGAGTCTTGTTAGGACTGTAACCAGGGAACCTAATTTGGTCTAAAAGGTTCTTCACGGCAGCATTAACATAATCTTCCAATGAAGCCTTTGGGTCGTAACCTAAATGAATGATAAAAAATGATTGAATCAGATTAAGCAGGAAAAATTTCAATAGTTAGCTGGTGTAAGGGGATATCAAAACAAACCTTTAACTCCTTCAAGAACATCATCTACCACGACAGTAATATCTTCATCAACCGACTTGTTTAAATCAAATCCTGATAATCAAATAATAGAATGGACAATGAATTAGTTCTCGATATAAATTGCAAAAATTAATGCTATTGTATCAACCATGATATTTACCCTTAAATTGGATCTTCTTGAGTTGTTCGAGAACATTGTTGATGAAATCTTGTTTAATTTGGTCTTTTGGGAAGATTGCTGTTAATAATCGTAAAACAATTAGTTAAAATTATGTAAAATATAATATGTGTGATTGTTAGTTAATATTTACATGGAATGGGTAATTTGTCGACAAAGTCACTAACAACGATCTTGACATTTTCAGCAACAGATTTGTTTTCATCCAAACCTAAAAATTAAACAAAAAATCGATTGTTAATATAAAAGCGATTCATAAAATGTACAAAATGTGTTATTTACCTTGAATTTTAAGAGATTTAACATAAGCTTCAGTCGCACTGATCAAATTGTCTCGGACACTGGCATCAGGATTCCACCCTTAATAACAATTAAGACATTTTAATAAAATTTCAAAGTAAAACAAGTAAAAGATGAACTTACCAGGAATGACTTTAGCCTCTAATGGTTTGTCAATAACAGCCAAAACATTTTTTTCGAGTGATGCCTTGTTATCCCAGCCTAATAATAAACAGTAATTAAGTCAATTTTACAATGTAACTTAAAAGTTATCCATCGTTAGTTAAAAGTAAACTCACCAGGAATAGGCTTTTCTAATCGCTGGACAAAACCTTCAACAAGGTTGACAACAGCTTGAACAAATGGACTTGGTTCTGTTGAAACAAGGTAAACTTATAATGACAAGTGTTTAAATTGATTTGGTTAATGCTTACCCTTGACTGGAGCAGCACTGATGGCTGAGACACAGAAGATGGCAATTAAAGCGAGTGAAAATTTCATGTTGGGTTTTGTTGGTTGTTTGATCAAACAGTTTTGAACGAAGATACAAACTGAATAAAGACGATTCAAGTTTTGCTTGGTTATATACTAGATGATTACAATGGATTAATTTTGCGAACCATAAAAAGCAATGAAGATCGTAATGATTATTAGATAATATGATACAATCGGCTATTCATTAATATGTAATGTCGACCGATGAAACTGTGATAATGAATTGAAAAATTGGTTGGCATTGAATAATTCCAACATGGTCTGATCATTTACTTCTTCATGCATTAAAAGTTGAATCTAGGAGCAAAAGCACCTATGCTGATGGATTGCCTTTGCAACAAATCAAAGCAAAAGTACGTTTTATGGGAAAATCTTGATTAACCTTCGATATTGAAGTAAATCTCCAACTTAATTGTTTGAGTAAAAACAATGGTTTGCAAATCAATATGATTTAGATCGTTGATGGTGATAGTTGATAACATTCAATGGTTCATGGTCGATCCATAAATGAATATAACACGTAATAGAACAATAATAGTTTCGAAAAAGCAAAGGTTATTAATCCTAACTCGTTATCAAATTATCCTGCTGTACCTTTAAAATGAAATTTGATTTTGGAGCAAAGTGGTGGTGGAATCGTTATAATATGATAATAATGGAAGCTGTCAACGCAGCATTGAGTTTAATTTTCATTCACATCGAGAGTTTGGCTGTTTTCCCATTTTAACCAGAATTTTAGATCGAATATTCACAAGATAAATTGGTACTTTTTGGTCTATTGAACCCGAGTGTTAAACCAATTTAGATCTTGCGTTTCTTTAGCATAGCTGATTGAAGATAATGGTCGAATTGAGAGATGAGCATTAGGGAAAATGCCGTTCCCATACCGTTTTGCGTTAGCGACAATGCCAAGAATGAATTAACAGTTCAACTTCTAATAATAATAGAGAGATGAGATCAGATTAACCAGTAAACTAGCACCAACTGCAGGGTTTTCATGAAGTCCAAAAGCTTAAATGGTCAAGACAAAGAAAAGAGACCTTTTTTACCAGTTTAACTTGCTGATAATAAACTCAGAATAAACCAGAAAATGCAACGGTGCATTAAAGAAACCTAATTGTCCTAAAATTTTGTTTAAATTATCCATTTTTCATTAAAAAACAATATTCTCACTCGTAAATCAATGCATTTGTTGTCAAAAAGACACAATAAACACAATTGTAACACTTTCGTATCAAACTTGTACACAAATGGCCAAAAACGAGTGTAAATTAGTTTCTTGCCAATTTAAACTCTATTAGTTTGTAGGGTCATGAAAACTATGTCCATTGGTACCATTAAAAAGTTTCTACTGCTGCCAGTTTTCGAGAAAATTGAGGTCAAAGTTACAACTTCGATCGTCTTTTGCTCAGTTGCCTGACCAGATTTTTTCATGAAACTCATTTACCATGATTAAATTTTGATGCCTAACCAGAAAATGTACTTATTTCGAGGAATAAAATTTGATTTTTTCTGTAAACCACATAAGTTCGATTTTAAATCAAATCGACAGATCTCTGTGACCACATAATTCAGAGATCTGAAACTTGTTATTCGAGCACGGAAACTATTTACAAACATCATGGGTTGAATGTTGCGGTCAATTTATAAACAGTTCTCTTCATTTTGGACATTAACCTAAAAAGTTCGGGTCTCGATATTTCGAGAACGGCATCAGATACAACCACCATTCTTTGTCCAAATATTAGATTTTAATATGGGCTATAATATGATATCAACTAATGCCAATTAAATCTGAACTAATTGATTTAATAATGATTTGATTACGAGCACCCATTTTACTTAAAAAACCAAATATCAAATCTGGTAACACAAGTACACCAATGCTATAACATTCTTTCTAGAATCTTGAATAATTTAATATTTCGCAATTATTTAACCCATATTTAAATCTAATGTTTGGGCAAAGAATGGTGATTGTATGTAATGTCATTCTCGAAATATTCAGGTTCGAAGTTTTTGGGTTAATGGCCAATATCGAAAGAAATGTTTATAAATTGAAAAAATTATCCAATGCATGATATTTGTAAACAGTTTTCATGCTTGAATAATAAGTTGCAGATCTCTAACACTTTTGGTTACAGAGATCAATCGAGTTGATTGAAAGTCGAACTTATGTGTTTTACATAAAAAATCGAATTTTAATTTTCAAAATAAGAGTATTTTCTGGTTAGGCATCAAAATTTAATCATGACAAATGAGTTTCATGAAAAAATCTGGTCAGGCAACGGAGCAAAAGACGATCGAAGTTTCAACTTTGACCTCAATTCTCTCGCAAACTGAAAACAGGAGAAACTTTTTAATGGTACTAATGGACATAGTTTTTATTTCCCTACAAACTTATAGAGTTTAAATTGGCAAGAAACTAATTTACACTCGTTTTTGGCCATTTGTGCACAGGTTTGATGCAGAAGTCTTACAATTGTGTCTATTGTGTCTTTTTAGACACATTAAAACATTATACACACATTATACACGAAGATATTGAAACTAAAATATATTTTAATGTAAAACATTCAAAAGGCAGCAATTAATTAACTGTTAAAGACCCGAAATCTCACTCGTTTGGACTTAAACCCGAAAGTTGCACCAAATTTGCATTCATTATGTAACTTTAAATGCATAGCAAAATCATAGCAAATCCGTGGCATTAACTTAGCTTGTCCCTCATTTACTTTGTGAGGAACAAAACTTCGAGTGCTTGTATGATTGATTTATGTCTATTCAAAATTGTATAGTGAAATGATTAGAAGATCAATTTAGTTAATTCATTAAATAATTTTTATTTAGAAAAAATAAAGATCGGTTTTATGATTTAGGTTTATCATTTAAATTAGATAGCACATCTAGAAGGGTAAGTTTTTGAGGACTTGGGCGAGGAAAGTAGCAACGTTGTCTTCGAGGGTTGCCTTTTCTGAGTAACCTGTTAAAAAATGGAAATAATGAATGATTAGTCGATTGTTCTTTTGGCGAGCTGTTAATCAATAAAGTCAATCAAAAATTACCAGGGAATTTGATCAATCCAAGAGCACTGACGAGAGATTTGTCAATGGTGGTTTCCAAAGGAGCTTTAGGGTCAATTGTTCCCAAATTGGCGAGAGAAGCAGCGACGTAAGCGTCAATGTTGACTGAAACGCTCTTTTCTACATCAATGTCTGTAAATAAATACAAATTAGGTTGATTAGATGGTTCGGGAGGATTATGGCTTCAATATCAACACTTACTTGGGATGTTGAGGTTCTTGAGGGAATCAATGATGAAATTGTCAAAAGCGGTAGCCATTTGATCTTTGGGGAACCAGGCTAATGAAATAAATTAAAGATGTGATTAAAAACTAAACTCATTGTCTTTGGCAATTACAACTCAATTTATCACAGTACTTACATGGAGCGTTGAGTTTGGCGAAAGCGTCGTTAACAAGAGCCTTAACATTTTCAGCAAGAGATTTGCTCATGTCGAAGTCTAATATAAAATTAAAAAAGTTGGTTAGCTAATAATTCAATAAGTCTAATTCAATGCAATCAATGAATTGCTAATGCTTACCAGGAATCTTGAGTGAATTCAACCAATCTTTGACACCATTGCTAACATTGTCTTGGAGACTCAAGTCGGGTTTCCAGCCAACTACAAGAAATAATTCAACACAATTAGAAACATTTCAATCTCTAAATTATTACAAAGATATTAATAATTACCAGGGAGAGCACCAGCTTCCAATTTGGAGTTGACGACATTGACAACATTGTCTTCAAGAGGCTTGGTGTTGACCCATCCTGCGAAAGATTACATTAAAATTTAAAAATCGGTTAAAACACAGAATCCAAAAATTTATTTGATGATAACTTAAGATGGACTTCAAATGATACAATTGCCATTTTTATCCTCTAAATGAATGGCAGTCAGATTTGGAGTTTACACTATAAGGTAAGAAGTAAAGAAGGGATTGAAAGACTTACCGGGAATTTGTTTTTCCAATTGTTGGACGAAACCTTCGACAATACTGATGATCAACTTGTGGAATGGGGTTGGCTCTGAGCATTAACAATAAAATAATAGAAATTAAAAACGAATCAAATGAAGTAAAAACAGTAATTAAGGTTGAATACAGAAGACAAAGGAGTTAACTCTTACCATCTTGAACAGGGGCAGAGCTGATGGCTGAGACACAGAGAAGAGTAAGGAAGGCAATTGAGAACTTCATTTTGTTTTTTTTTCACTGGATCTGGATCACGATTCTCCTGGATATCAAAGATTTGAATGAATTAATATTCAGTAAATTGTCATGATTTATATAGCTTGCCTCGGTTAATCTAAATTTCAAAGTTACGAGTCATTATTGTTTTAAGTGCGTAATAAATTCAATTGTAATTGGAAAGATAACCGATCTTTGATTAACCAGAAGCATATCTGCCTGTTCATTTGTACATTTACCTTTAATCCAATGATCAGAATTGACAATTGTTTCAATGCTAATGACATAATCTATTATCTGCATTATCCATGGAATGGGTTCAAATATTACATTCCATCTTTGGTTACTTGACATCATATTGATTCTTGGTGGTCAATGATCACAACAGAGTCTACAAGCTCTCAATGGTCTTTCGATAATTTTTTACTCCGATTTTAAATTATTTAAAACATCCAAACACACAAGATGGTTAATTGATCTTACAATCAGTAGATATAAATTGAATTTCCAATCAATCTGTAGATTATTATTATTCAAGTGATATAACTTCATGAGTTAAGTTTATTGAAAATTTTCGTTTGTTGAAGCTTTTTTATCGTAAAACAATCAGATCATTTTATTTATAATGTGGTTATATTGACGCTCGATCAAGTTAAGATGTGATTTTGATTAAGACAAGTTTTGAGTTTTAAAGCTACAAAATGTTTGATAAATTATGCACTAGATGGCCTTACTAAGCATGTTTTTGTTTTCTTGTTTTGGATTTGTCTCAAGCAAATAACGCTAATCTTTAATTGTATTTGAATGTTGATTTTAAATTTTAAATCATCCACACTTTCACTACATAATTTGTGTTTTAATCCATCCAACTGAATTTGTTCAATCTAATGATATTTTCTGGTTTTCTCTGAATTTACATTTTTGGTTTGCAAATACTAACTCTGACTTCACCTGTTGTTTACTAGTAAGCGTATTTCAATTGAAATTATGAATGGAATCGTGGAATACTTTGGACCAAACAAATCAAATCATCCTTGCGGTTACTGCAAGTCAAATAAACCAGATAACTCAAGCTATGGTACGTGTAAAATATTCGTATTTGATCTCAAAATGTATTGTTTACCTATTATCTGACTATTTGATATGTTATCTAATCTTTATCCTTTTCAATTTTCAATCGATCTCACCCTTTTGATTTACTCTTTCAGGTGTATGGACTCATGAAATGACCCCTGAGCAGTACCAAATAATGATTGATAGAGGAATGAGAAGAAGCGGAAAATTTTGTTACAAGTCTGTTTTGGATAAAATCTGCTGTCCAACTTTTGCAATAAGGTTTGTCTTTTTGAATGCATAATGTCATGTGCCTTATTCTTATCCTCTCTCATGTTTCAATGTTTTTAGGTGTGAAGCTTTAAATTTTAAACCATCTCGATCACAAAGAAAAGTTATCAAACGTTTCAATGATTTTATCTACCATGGAATCAAACCCAAATCATACGACAAAGGTAAAAATTTTGGAAAAGAATCACAAACAGAATTTATCATATTCGGAGATAGTCAAAAGCGTTTGAAGCTTGCAAAAGTCGAACCAGGTTCGATAGTTTAATAATTTTTACCAACAATGCCACAAACTAAAAGAATGATCCGGGGTTTCTGTTTATTTAAAAAGTTGTTAAATTTAACTCTTTTGATTATTAGCAGAATCTTCTAGTTCGAATGATTTGGCGGATCCTGTTCAAAGTAAACCCACGAAATCTCCTTCAACCGAAGCAACCTCTGATAATGAAGCTGTATCGTCAACATTGGAACCCAGTGAAATTAAACAATGTAAGGATAGGACAAAAAAAGCTAAATACTTAAGACTGCAACGACGGATCGCCAGAATTTCTTTAAAACTCAATTGTTCAGAGGAAGAGGCTTTGAAAGTCATTAAAGAAAAGTTCCAACAAAGACATCAAAAGTCAGAGAAATTATTCGAAGATTATTTTAAAAAGCCAGAAAATATTGATAAACCTGCTCATGACCTAAGAGTAAGTTTCTGTTGATGAAATTTTTTCAATTTACGTAATTTATTTTATTTTCATCTTAGATTCAATTCGTATCAACATGCACCGAGGATCATGTAAAATATTTAAAAGTCTCCCATCAACTGTATGAAAAATATCAAACAATTATTCATAAAGATGACCCATCAGAATGCACTATCAAACAATTTAGAAGATTCCTAATAGATAATCCATTCGAGGTATTTCTAATTTTATATTATATATTTGATTGATTTTTTTCTAATTTCTGTTTCTTTCATTCTTTTTTCAGCCTAAACCTTTTTGCACTGAATCTAAAGATTCCAAGTCAATACCTACTTCCTATGGCTCGTATCACATGCAGTACTGGTTAGATGATAAACTAATTGCTGTAGCTGTTCTCGACATATTACCTTATTCTGTGTCGTCTGTATATCTGTTTTATGACCCAGAATATAGTTTTTTAAGTCTCGGAACATATTCAGCTTTGAGGTAACTTATACAACACACAAAATGGTTTAATAAAGCTAATCATTTTTCTTCTTCTTTTAATTAGAGAAATTCTTTTGGTTCGTAATCTTCACGAAATAAATCCTTCCATCTCTTACTATTACCTCGGTCTCTATATCTATAACTGCCCTAAAATGAATTATAAGGTAATTTTATCGGAATCTTAATTTCTTTCTATATTCATATTCATGTATTTTCTTCCATTAATTTTACAGGGCAAATTTCATCCATCATTTCTCCTCTGTGATCAAGCATTAACATGGCATCCTATTGAGAAATGTTTAGAAAAATTGAAACATCATACACATCCTCGATTTGAAGATGATCCAAACAAAGTAGATGAGGATTCAGCCACTATCCAGGATGATGACATTCTAATTCTCTATTCACGAAAGATTTTAACCTACTCTTTTTATAAACACTTGTGCGGCACTGAAGATTCGAATGAGGTGTACGAATATGCAAAGCTTGTCGGTAAGAAATGTACAAAAAACTTTTTACTTTACCGCAAAAATGAAATTGACTAGCATCATGTTAATCCCTAATGTTATTATCAATTATATTTGTATTTAAGCCTAACTCATCTCTCGATGCATCACAAGTAAATCACAACTCACTGTATTTAATTTAATAAATTTCATTTTTTAACTATTTTAACCTAATCTAAATTGTCAGTCATTTTTTGATATGATCAATTTATATCATTACAATGTCAACCTTTTACCAAAGATTCAATATCACCAGTGTTATTGTTCAAATGGCAATGAAGAGTGATTATAAAACTTGAGATTATATCTAGATCAAGTTACAATGAACAATGAATATCATTATCATTATCATTTCCTTTGAATAAATTTTGATGAAATACAACATGCTTTCATTGCATGATTAGAAATACAAATGTAACGATTGTATGAAAATATTATTATACTAATTTGGATAATCTGGCTATTTTGTTTGAAGTTTAAATCCCCCATTGAGGTTTGACTTCATGTCTTAATCAATTTCCATGAACAACCTCAAGGTTTGAAACAAAGGTCAAATAACTTTTCTGACTTTAGTTTTATTTGATTAACCGTGATAAATTCAAGAGAAATTCATGAAATTTCAAAGGCCTTCAATGAAATTTGTTCAACACGGTAATTTAACCTTTTTAATGAGCACTTTTGGTTGGCCAAGCCAAAACTTTTAAGGTTTTAGTCCAAAATATTTATTTTTGATTAAGTATGTAATTTGCACACCCAAAGATTATAGTTATTACTTTGATCCTTATGTTGAACAGACAAAATTAATAAATAAAAAGGTAAAAAAGTTTTTTGTATTCCAGTCAGATTGAGTGTTGGTTTTCAGGTTGAGACAGAATTCATTAAAAGTGAAATCAAAGTGAATGTAAGTTGGTTCATCACAAATTGTTGAGCTGAGATTCTTAACCAAAAAATGTGTTAAAAGTTGATGGTTTTATAATGGTTTAAATAATGAAAATGTGTTGATAGAGTTTTGATGAAGACAGGGACGAGGTGAGAAAATGCAAAGGAAAATAAATTGCGGAGATTTTGAGAAAAATTACGATAGCGTTGGTGTAACAGTTGGTGAAATTTGTAATTTTGTTGCTTGTGTAGTTTCATTTTGATTTGATTGTTCAAGGCTGCGAGTAGGTTGAGTTTTTAATCGATCATCATGTCTAAATGTAACACCATTGTTTCCACTATTATTGGCATTTAATTCACTAATTTCACTAATATTTAGCCGTTCACCTTGAAAGTGAATAATATTTCTCTTATTGCCATAATTATCTTTATTAATACGATCTGCATCACTATTTCGGTGTCCTCCTTGTCCTTCACCTTGATAAGCTGATGATGTAGGCTCTGTGGATGTCGTTTTTTCATTTCCATGCTTAAGCGTTTCACTCACTTTTTTCCCATCACTATTGTCATCGTAAGCAAGCGAACTTGGGTCGGGATTATTTTGATTTGATGGATTTTGCTGAAATAGACTGGACAGAATAGGAGCTACAATTCCTTGGATCAATGGGTTGGATGACCAAGATCCAAATCTATTTGAGTTAGCTGGTCTTTGATTGATGGGTGATGGCTGATGATAATTGGGTCGGTAATGGTTGTAAGAAGGTTGCTGGTACGGCCGATGAACTTCTTGGTTGTCAGGATTGATTAGACTAGGATTATGTCTTGAAGGTGGAGGGAATTGGCTGGATGATGGTCCTGGATACCGGCCAGGTTGCTGATAACCAGTTGATTCTGGTTGTGACCCATAATTGTTTGGTCTTGAGCCTTCCATAGAGCCCGGCTTTATCTCTTCCTCTGGATCAGGTCTTATCTCCTCTTCTGGATCTGGTCTCAACAAGCCTTGACCACTTTGACCACTAGGCATGTAACCTCCAGTTCCAGGCTTTCTGTAGATATTATCTGGCTGGGTGAAGCCAGGTTCCTTGGGATATTGGTTACGATAAGGATCAGGTCCAGGTCCACTTGAGGGTATATCTACTATTGGATATTCTGGTCTTTCTTCTGGGTAATCTGGTCGATTTAATTGCTAAAAATAGATCAAAAAATTGATTAATCAACAATGGAAAACGAAAAAATTTCAATATTTAGTTGCTGTTCAACTTTTTCACTGCTTCAAGTATTTCAAGTATTTTCTAGACTCAATAACAAATGCATATTCAGATAAACTATTAATAGTAATAACTGATACTGATATGCAAAACCGTCAGGACTATGGTTAATGATGGACAAAGATTGATTAACTTACTGAAAGTGGACAACATTGGAGGAATCCATATCGACAGCAATATCTTCTCTCTCGAAAACTCAAATATTGTAAACTGTATTGACAACTGTTACAATCATTGTTGATGGAAACCGCTCCTGGGTTATACTGGCCAGAAGATGGTAAATAGAAAACACTGATTAAAATTAAAACAGGTAAAATGTGAGACAAATCGTCTGCCATTTTATATGATGAGCTGATGATATGAGCAATTGACTGTTTCGTTGAATCAACAGTTCAAAGTAAAAAGTAATTGAGAGTTGAAAAAATAATGTAATCCAAACCGCAAATGATGACAGTAAAGTTGAAATCAAGTTACAATCAAACACGAGAAATACAAGTTTCTTTTTTTCAATTAAAAAACAAGGAAAACAAATTAAAATTATTTCCACATTAACTGGTTAACTGGAAAGATTGAACATGGTAAACAGAAAAAAACATTAAAGATGTCATTAAAAACGCTTATTTGATGGACATCAAAGTGGACTTGGTCAGTGAAACTTCCCTAGTAAGTGAAGAAGAAAATATTTCGAGTCTCACTTTTTGTCTTCTTTCTTATCTCAATCAGTTAAGGAGAAGGGAAAGAAATAACAAAAGCTTGTTTAACATTTCTTCTTCTATTTTTGTATCTTCAGTTCAAAACTTATTCTTTGCATTCACTCATTTATTGCCATTTTCGAACCAAATAGATATTTTTTAACCATTATAACAGTTCGTCCCACTCTAAATACCTGCCTTTGGGAGTTCATTTCATATTTCAATTCAATACATTTCAGTATTTACGCTTGTTATTTTCAGCTAAATACTGGGTATGCGAATGAACTAAGCCACTTGATTTATAGTTTTATATTGAACCATGTTTCTGTTTTTTAATAATCATTATCTTTTATTTAAGGACAAAATTTGTTTGCAGTCTTAGTCGGATAAGTAAATTGTGATACCTCATTAAATTTTCAGACGCGTAAATACTTAGTCTTTGTGAATAATTTTTTGCGTGGAAGTAAAAATCAGATGATTTGGATGAGCAAATGGTGAATACATTTCCTTCCGTCTCGGAAGTAGGCAGAATAATTTGCTAGAAGTACCTTTTCTACTAATTATACTTTCACATATTCAATAATAATTTTCAACATTGATTTAAAAAGATCGTAAAATAGTTCTATTCTTTAATTGTTGCGAGTACATTGGCATTTTTTCTTGTAACTGTAACACGCAGTTTGGAAGTTTAATTATATTTGGTAAACCTTGTTCACAAAATTTTCTGCTACTCTTTAATCTTTCAGGTTTTAGGGCTTAAATGTTTCAATGAACATTTCTTTATGATCGGCGGTGTAATGTCATGATGTACATTCTGAGGTTAGATAATAACTGCGATTTACAAATTAAATACATAATTTGATTTGAAATCATTTTTTAATTCATTCTTGCATCATTTGCTTGCGATAATGATATAATGTTACAATTTAGATTTCATCTAACTGCTCAAGTTTTGTACAATAACCTATCGATAAATGAGGCTAAAACCTTAGTTGGTCCATAAAAAAGGGCGACTTATTCGTTGACAAACAAAATCGATCAAATTAATCAGTATGTCTGTGGAGTCGTAAATTTGTTACAAAGGCTATAATATAATAGTAGAACAGTTAACTAACATTAGTTTAAAAAAATTGCGAATACAAGTATCAAATAGATGCTTCAAGGTAGTCTCAATTGCTGATAGGTTACTGTGTTTTTCGAAGAAGATTATTAATTACTTTTGATTTCACTAACCATATTCGATAATAACTCAGGATTTATTTTGTTTGATGTAGTCATTAGTTTGTTTGATTTGGTTTAGTTTTAACATCCGACACACTGTCTTTGTACGAGTAGTGGAAATATAGAGATAGAGCGAAAACAATTGATTCTTTGTTGGATGTAACTCTCAAAAGTTGGTGTTACCAAAATAAGTTCGTGGGAAATTTGCATTTACACTTTGATAATATTGCGATGAAAAATATTAGAATCTGGTCAAATCGGTTTGTAAACATGCCAATTCAAGACTCTTCTGCCTGTAATCCATGCCTCTGGAGTGTTGTTTTTAATTGTCGATTTTCTTTTTTAACGTCCAATAGTTGAAGGCGTAAGCTATCAAGTTCATTGCTATAATGTGAAAAAAATAATAGTGATATTAATAGTTGTAAAAGGAGAAAAAATGGGTTTCATGAGGAAAAATGTTTCATCATGAAACAGGCAAAATCGTTAGTGGACAAGAACGAGATTGTCTTGACATTTTATACCTACCTTAAAATTTCATTTTCCTTAATAATTTCTGACAGTTTTGAATTTTCTTTAACCAATTGGTTAATATATTCGCATGCTTTGGCAAGAATACCTCCTTTAGACTGTAAAGAGCAGCGAATCTAAATTAGTGAAATGATCGAAAATTAAAATTTGATGTGACCAAGAAATTGGCTGGAAACAAAAGCCACTTACCTGTCCTTGCTTAGTTCGATCTTGCGCACAATCTGGCACTATACCTGCTAATTTAGTTATCCAATTATTAATTTTGTCACGACGCCTTCTTTCAACTTCATTGTGGGTCGCTCGTCTCTTCTCGTCTCGAGGATTGCGGCTTCCTTCACTTGTGGATGATGTCCTTTTCCTTAAACTAGTATGCGTAACAATTTCCTGACTTGGAGTCATCATAACATAAAAAGGGCCATCACTAGCTGAGCCGGTGGATGTATTAGAAACCAATTGATTCTGAGCAATAATAGTCTGTGCGACACCTGAGTTGCTGCTTATCGGAGAAACCATATGATGGCCAGCAGTATTTTCTGCAGTATTATCAACTACTTGAACAACCCTGTAAGTCACTGGTGAAATAAGCAGCAGATCATGGTCATTTTCCGATGTGATTTCTGGGTTATTCTGAAATGCAAAAAGTAAAATGAAATAAGGAATAAGAAAATGCGTTAAATAGAGAAAACGGAACCACTACAGGTTTGACCAGTTATTAGAGTCAATTTATGATCAACTGGTATTCATACCATCTGGAACTATATCTACAGAATATACGCACCTCATTATTAGAATCAAATACAATCGGATGGCCAATTAAAGCTCTTTTGACAGCTAATTTGTACAAATCTCTAGTAGAATCTGTGATAGGACCTATGTCTCTTTTTAAAACCATTTGACAGGCTTTTCTCAAGTCCCCATCATCCATGGCATCTAGTGAATCTGGCGTCAAGTCAGCCTGAGAAAAAGAATATAGAAATAAAATATAATGAGTTCCAACATAAACAAGATATAAAAGATATAAAAAACACTTACCATAAATTGAGGATCCTCAGGAACTTGGTCACCAGTCTCCATAACTGATTTTAAATTTACAACAACTATCTTTGCAGCAAATTATAAGCAAAACACTTTCCAGATGTGATCGGGTAAACTCGTAGGTTTATTAACTCTCTTAAATTAAGACGACAGAATCATCTCTCATTGTTTATGAAGAAAAAAATATCAACAAAGTAAACTAAGAGAGACAAAAAGCATCAAGAGAAAGGAAAAGCAAAGAAAAAATAAGTCAATCAGTTTCAACCTGATAAATTTTAGTCAATCAGGGTCAAATATCAATTTTCCAACACGTTCTAGAGTAACCAGATCATCTAATTCATGAAATGGAATCACCCTGAAATGGCATTCATCTAATTTTGTTATAATACAACCATCTTTAAGGCACATATTTATAAGTTGAATATGATTCATCCAGTTGATGTTTATAGATGGAAATGTTGGAACTGTCCCTCAAGTCTTATAGCTAAATGGTTTAAACCACTGAAATAACATTCATTGAAGCACTTGAAGAAAATTAATAAGCTAAATTATTTTTACACCAAAGGTTGGTGAGATTAATAATTGAACAGAAAAGATAAAATTGATTAAACAACTTACAAGACTTGCTCCATTTCCCGGGTTCAATTACGAGGTCATGTGAGATATTCAGAGGTCATGTGATGGTTCCAAATAAGTCAGATGACTTATTTTTCTTCACTTTCTCAGTCGCAGACTTCACTTATAATAATTTTAAATACAATAGTTATCGCTAATAGTAAATTCTGAAATAATAAGTTATTTATTAAATTTAAATTGACTATTTGAAAGCAGAGAAACAACGAGCACAAAGATAAAAGGAAAATAGTTGACTCAACAAGAGAAACATTATACACTTAAAGCTGTTTGAAAACGATTAAGCTGGTGAATGTTGGAGATGGAGATTTTGCAACTATCCCTCGTTGTGTCTTACTATACTTGACGGTCTGGTGTAAACAAATTGGATAAATGTCTCAATAAATTGTTTTAATTCTTTTCATCAGTCAACTTTTTTAAATTGTTTTACACCAATAGATCAATAATTGGTCCTGGTTGCTAATAATTTAACTGGTTTCATTTAATTTACTCATTTGTCAAACACACTTTTCCCTTTGTTATTCCTTGGTTCATCCATATTTCCCTCTCTTTCTCCTTTCTCTTTCTCCTTGTTTTTTTTTGGAATACTTTGTTTCTCATTTTCGATTAATGAGTGTCTCATTTGTCATATTGAGTTAAGTTGGTTTTTATATCGTCGAGTTTGGCTAGTTACGCTTCGAAAGTGTTCTTACTGTTCAACTGTAAACGTTAATTATCAGCTTTGTGTATTTAATTCGAAATCAATTATGGAAGCTGGTGACCAAATTCTTGGTGAGGGCTCACAAATGGTAAGTTATTTTCTTCTTGTTTAATTGTTTTTTGTATGAAACTCATCATATTTTATTTCTATATTCTTTTTCTCAGGCTGACTTGACGCCAGATTCACTAGATGCCATGGATGATGGAGACTTGAGAAAAGCTTGTCAAATGGTTTTAAAAAGAGACATAGGTCCTATCACAGATTCTACTAGAGATTTGTACAAATTAGCTGTCAAAAGAGCTTTAATTGGCCATCCGATTGTGTTTGATAAGGATAATAATGAGGTATGTAGTCTATCTATGTAGTCATAATTGATGTACTCGTATAAGGAATGATCATAAAATGATGTAATGAACTGGTCAAACCTGTACTTTGATTATGTACTATCCACCTTGTATATTCGCATTGGCATTTTATTAAAATTTGTCGTTTTTATTTTACAGAGTAATACCGAGGTACCATCAGATAGTGATCATGAAGAAATCAAATCTAAAGAAATTACCCAAGAATCATTGCCATCTCTCTCGCCTCCTACTCCACCAAGAATCTCTCGGAATTCACCTATTGTAACTAAACAACCTTTCGATCCAAGTCCATTCACTTCCATAAAGAGATCATTCCCTGCAACAGCACCTTCTCCGTTCTCACCAAGACCCAAGAGAATTGAGCAAAGGTCCAACTTTCTTCGTAATGCCTTCATTGTCGGTATTGGGGCAGTTTTACTTGCTCTCGTATTAGCTTTTCTGTTAAGCGACTGAGTTATTGCCGAATCAACATGGTTCATAGACACTATTCAAAACTTAACGTTGTCAAATACTTGAGCTTCAAGACAAAAAGGAAAAGCAAATGCTGACTCTAAAATCAATAAATCTTAGCTCTTAAACTCGATCATATGAACTAACATAAATAACTTTAAATTTGCAAACAAGTCAAGTAAAAACATTATTTTAATGAATTTATTCATAATTAATTTTTATTTCACTTAGTCCAACTATCTTCTTATAAACTTTAAAATTTAATTAGCGCACCTCTGTTTACTATCTTACGAACAGTTAGAATTTTCCTTTTATAAATTTTGTTGTTTTCAGCAGAATCCCCTTAATCAGTTATTTATGATGTTGATTTTATCTTAATGTTGACTAATGTGTACTTGAAGTATATTCCTGATTTGTGGTAAAACTTGTCCTGTTATTCTTAATCTCAAAATATATATAGCAAGGATCTCGACTAGAAGTAATTTAAGTTGATGGTGGTTGCTGACTTTTGAGTTATTAATTTGAATTAAATGAAACTGAGTATTCACTGAAGAAGACACTCAGCTTAGCTTTTAGTGGACAAACTACTGAAATAGTCTGAGCAAAAATACCCTAATCTAACGTGAAATGATTCCATGATTGCTCAAAGAACATTCTATTGATTTGTATGATTATTTACTAAGAATCTTGGTTGATTTGAGAATCAATTTTGTGACCAAGAAACTAAGTTTGCTGATAATCTATCGATAGTCCGACAATTCATCATCCATTTTTATGAACGCCTTTGACTAAAAACAACTGAAAATAACATCTATGACTTCCAATCGCGCTTTTAAGGATGAAATATTTAGAAAGAAATTTTTTTAATTGATTCCGTTAAATGCATATAAGTCAGATCGCAAGCTGATGTTCATGTTTACTAACAATCAATGGTGTGTTTTAAAATCGCCTACAATTCCAGCAGAATAAGTTATATAGAAAGCCCTCATTAACTGATGACTCGATTGTTATGTGTACATCTCTTTGATAAGATTTCAAATGTTTCACATGCAAAGTATAATAATTTCATTCTTTTGTATCTAAATCCAAATGAGAACGAGGTTCAGCTCAGTTACTCTACTGAAATTATAATTACATTCATAACTCGCATCGCGACAAGTAAATTTTCATGGTAACAGACTGGTACAGTTAAAAGGGACTGAAGAAATACGGAAAGCATTTCAGTCCAATGGGATTAAAATGAACCATCGATTAAAATCAATAAAGTTACGGATACAAATGAAAGATTATCAAAGTGTAAAATCTGGCGTGTCTAAACACAATATCTATCTGAATAATTTTAAGAGAGTGAGGGAGTGACAAGATATGGTGATAAAAAACTAGGTAAAAAATGAGTGGTAGATATTGAAATAATACAATCTAAATAAATTATGTAATCAACAGATTATCGAAAAATTTTAAAATCTAAATGAGAACCAACGAGATGGCGTAACTAGACTTTACCATTTGTGTAGTTGATGACTGTTAGAGTGAGTGAAACACCTCAATTGTAAAGCGAAAAATATAAGAGCTGGGTTGTGCTAGATTAAATCTTTTTTAACTGTTTCAATTGTAATTAACATCTACTCCTACAAATTAACTCACCGTTGACCAGCAACAAATTTGATCATCTAAAATGACTACTAAAGAAGATGAATATGATTATCTATTTAAAGGTAAAGTAATCTTAAATGACTGTCCTTTTTTCATTTGATTTCTCTGTTTCTTCTTGTTTTCTCTCACTCTCTTTCTCTGTCTCTTTATTCCTTCTTTCCTCTCTTTTTCATCATCCTCTTTCTTTCCTTTCTTTTCCTTCTCTTTTTCTCCTGGTTTTCCATCATCAATAATATCATCATCATCCTTTGGGTTTTTTTCTTGATAGAGTACATCAACATAGAGAGATTAGATTTGCATTACTTAGCCTCCTCAGATTGAATTTCTTTCCCTCTCCTACCTTCTTCCTGATTCACCCGAAAACATCCGTTATTAGTTGATTTAGACCCTTTTATTTATTGCTATCAAGCCAGCAAAATTACACCTCAACCCTTTTGACGTTGCTTTTCACCCTTTTCACAACTCATTGTTCAATGAGAAGTTTCCATCTATCAAGGAAAGGTCATTGGTTAGCTATGTAATTGTCTTTAATTTCAATTTGTATTCCTTCATCTCTCATTTGCTTGTCTAATTTATTGTTATGTATGTGTCTATCTGTTGAAGGGTCTGTCTGCTTTTGTGTCGTCTGTCTTTGTTTTTTATCATACTATAAGATTACAATGACTAAGTTGTTTTCATAACTTGACCAAATTAACTGAACTATCTAATTCATGTCAAAACTATTTAGAATTAACCTTGTTTAAGGCCAATCTCATAGCTATCTCATTTTGATCATCAGAAGGTGGAGAAATAACATTCAGTTGCACGCACTCGAAACCTATTTGTCTTGATTTTTTAAATGTGTTTTGACTTTTATGTATTTAATAGTAATTTCAATCCTCTCCTACGTCTCTAAATCCATTTCCTTTCTGTTTATTGGCTGTTTGCAAATTTTCATGATGATTGTAATTTATTAAAACACTAATATTTTATACCTTTCTTTTTGTCTTGGCTGATTTCGCTCATTGGATGGCAATGGGTTTGATTATTTCGCTTCATTTTTACTAACGGATATTAGTTGTCTTGATTGGTGACTCTGGAGTTGGAAAAAGTAACCTTCTTTCCCGTTTCACTCGTAATGAATTTAATTTAGAAAGTAAATCAACCATTGGCGTTGAGTTTGCAACTCGAAGTATCCAAGTTGACAATAAAACCATTAAAGCCCAAATATGGGACACTGCTGGACAAGAAAGATACCGGGCCATCACCAGTGCTTATTACAGAGGTGCAGTTGGTGCTCTTTTGGTTTATGATATTGCCAAACATTTGACTTATGAAAACGTTGAAAGATGGCTTAAAGAGTTGAGGGATCACGCCGATAACAATATCGTTATAATGTTAGTTGGTAATAAAAGTGATTTACGCCATTTACGCGCAGTGCCTACTGATGAAGCTCGTGCTTTTGCCGGTAAGTTGAAATGATGGGTGTAATGTTTCATTACCCTATTCTAGTTTGAGTTGCCATAATTGAAACAAAAAAACACCTCTTTACTTTTCCCACTCCCAATCTTATCCTTTCCCTTTGTAACGCTTTTGTATCTTTTGTCTGTTAGTTAATTTTTTTCATATTTGCCTCTCCTTTTTTATATCTGTTACTTACTCTTTTTGAGATCTAATGTTCTTTACTAATTATTTATTTTCTATTATTTTCAGAGAGGAATAATCTTTCATTTATTGAAACATCAGCCCTAGACTCGACTAATGTGGAAGCCGCTTTTCAACAGATTCTCACCGAAATATATCATATAGTATCCCAAAAACAGATACGCAATGATGGCGACGGTGATCCTTCTCCATCAGAGAACATTAGGCCAATTAACATTCCTCCAACGGATCCTTCGGACCAAAGGAAAAAAGCATGCTGTCAAACATGAGTGTATAAATGTATTGCCTAATTCAAGATGTGTATTAGAGGGAGAGAAAGGTAACGAGCGAAAGATTAAATATTTGTCTTTGTGTTTGTATGTGTGAGTGTATGAGCGGGAGAGAGAATTCGTATTTATGTAAGAAAGACATTTCAAAAAAAAATGAAAAGTATGAGTTGGAAATTAATCATCAACAAAGAGATGTTTTGTTAAAATAATAAGCTAAAATCAGAAAAGAATAACAGAAAAAAAAGTTGAATGAAAAACAGAAAGTGAAGAGCTTTGGTGTTCATTGAATGATTATTCGTATTATATGATATAAGTAACAAACAAACCAAAAGCGAATGCTTATGATTTCAGGCGAAAGTAGTTTAATAAAACGCCTCAATCAAATCGATTTTTTAATGAAACAAAAAATAGTGAAAAGACTCAAACTCCGGTGTTCACAATTTTTAATCATCGTCAAAACTCTAATTTATCTTCGATGAATTTTTTTCGGGAGTAAATGTATGGTTTATACTTTTTGACTATTTCCTTCCTTCGTTTTCTTTCTGTTTTAATTAGCCATTTAACTTCGGGTCAACCTGTCAGTCAATTATGGTTGTCATAATAATTTCAACTTTGTAGTTTCTTAACCATCTGTCAACTAAATACTGATTATCTTTTTATGATGCAACTAAATCATCTTTAAAACTCTGGAATCAATTGTTGTTCACTCATTTCTACTAATCGGAACTCATTTTCGGAAATAATCGGAGTCAACCTGAAGTCATCATCGACTTATTGCAACCCAATACAAGCTGGTTAATGTTGATACATTCAAAAGACTAACAACACTTCTCTTGTCAAAAAATATGTCAACATATTTAATCTGGTTTTCATTGGATTGTTATTTAACTAGATTAACCTCTTTCTTCTGTTTTCTCCTCCTCCCTCACATCTATCTTTTACAGTCTTTCACATACAAGCTCATCCAATTGACTAAATCATGAAGGAAAGTTGGCGATAAAAGCACAATTGAGCTTATTGACTCATGGTGTTTATATTGATTACAATGAACAGATAATGGTAAAGCAAGGAAAGGCAAAGTAACAAAGAATTAATAGCGATTAAATGAGTAATTTATTGCATATGATGGAAAACAGACGAACAAAAATCACAAGAGTTGGTGAAAACAAATCATCATAAGAAACGAACATAAAGAGATGATGAGATAATGAGTTGTGATTAGTTAACAGTGAATAAGTTCTTGACTCCCATCATATACTATTGTTACTGTTTGTTTTTATTTTTCCAAAAAATTAATCACGATCCATTTGATTGTCATCGATTTGATCACCATCAACCAACATATCCACCCCAAATGCCGTAACCTGTTCCATAGCTGCCACCATAATAATGAGGATAACCTAACATGGCGCACAAAAGAGCAAGAAAATGTTTTATCAACACTAATTATTGGAACCATGACTCAAGAAATTTAACAGCTAGAATTTTATTTACCAAAATAATATGGATAATGTCCAGGATAAAGCCAAGGATACCAACCCCAACCCGATGTTGCTGCAATAGACGAGATGACAGCAAAAATTGCTAGTAACCTCAACTTATCGTTGATAAATGATATCCAATTGAAATGGTTTCCAAATTGCATTGAATTGGATCCAATGGAAGCAGTATACAAAAAGAAACCAAAAAATGAAACAAGAAATCATTATTTTATCAACATTCACAAACATTTAATCCATGGAAGTGCAAGAAAATTTGATGAATAAGGAAACGGATAACTTGAAGGATTATTTTTCGACACAATCACTATTGATCAATTAAATTACACTTGGATGGAAATAGTGGCGCTTTAATTCGTCCAATGACACAGAACCTATGGATTTAAAAATATTGCCTCAAAGATACTTACCAAGAAACGCATCGTGAAATGGATTCAGGAAAACTGTTTTAAAAGGTTATTCGCACTTAAAATGTTGCTTATGAACAACTCAAGCTGGCGAGTTGAAATCTCGAAGTGGAAAAATCGTCTCACCTGTTGTCTATTTGTTTATATATAAAAATCTTGGTATAATTTTAATTGGACAATTACATTGAGGAAGGATGGGTCAGCATTCGGTTGGAAACGCTCTCACTCATTTTGGCCATTATTTTTTTGGGTTTCATTCTTCCAGTTATTTTGGTTACTTTTATTCTTAACCTGGACTGGCTGCAAAATGATTTGAACAAATTTCGATTGGCCTCACCAGTAGAGAAGTGAGGAGAAGAAAAGAATGACCAATAATTAGTGACAACAATTAAGCGTTTAACCAAGTCAAGACCAAAGTAACCCTGCTCCTGTCAGTTATATCATGGGTTGCTGATTTTACAGGTTAATCAAAGCTGTAATGACCAAAATGGTTTATAATAATATAGTAATAATTGTTTAACGGTTAGGAAAGTATTGTTATCGTTGGACCAATTTTACCTTTTATAACTCGATTCGGTTTCAATTTGCTCAGCTCTCAGGCTCACTTAAACCTAACATGGGTTAAGCAGAAAGTGATCCCGGAAGAAAGGAAAAGTGTTTTCTCTAACCAACAATTATCTAACTATCCAAGTGGAGCTTTAACTTACAAAGATTTGAAACTTATACTTTAATGAAAATCCTCAACTAATTGCAGAAATTGAATCAATGACCAAATTGAATGCTTTGTAATCCATTTGGAATATTTCAAGATTTTCTCTGTTTTCGCTAATCGACTCTCAGAGGGGCGTTTGTAAGATTTCTTGTTGATTCCTGGTGATTTGCCAACATTGACATATACATCAATAATGTTTTTCATATTTCCTGATGATCGATTCACAATTAGAGCCTAATAATTGATGATAAACCTCTTTTGCGTCTTCCCTTTAAATCTTTCACGGATATGGTTGGCCACTTTTGACTCATAACAATGGTTGGATGATTTTTAGGTTATTTGTGTATTAACATTAGACAAAGTTAAAACTTTCACGTCAACAAAATTATTTCAATTTCACCCATTCTCCTACATTTCTTACATTTATCATCTAAATCCACCCAATTATTCACCAATTGGTTAGGATACATGACATTTACAAACACACAACAGTAACCGTAATTGTACCAAACAAGGCAATTTTTAACCAAGATACTGATCCTTTTCATCATCTACTCAGGATAATACTCGGAAGTCTATTTGTCTGAGCGTCAGCGAAGACTTTGATATGAAAAAGTCATAAATTACGGTTGCTTGAGCTCAAACCAGTGGTTAGATTTCAATCAAATTTCATATTCAAGATCTACAGGCCTTGGGCATTGGAGATAGAAATTTGGTTAAATTTGGAACACTTTGCTAAAAATTAGCTGCCATTGATTAAAACAAATAGCGATTAAACTTCAATCAAACTTAATGATTTATAAAATCCTAGCTTTAAATGTTAAAATAAGTTTAGATAAATTGTGTGAATCTTTTTCAACTTTCTCTTTTCTTTTATTCTGTTCATAAGAAGTCATGCAAAAACTCTTGAGTTAAGAGTCAAGACTTGGTGAGCTTGTAAGAGCATGAAGATGGAAATCATTTGGGCAATGAAAAATTTATTTCGTCAACGGCTTTCGAGAAAGTCATGTTCAAACCTCAAACTTTGTTTACCTTTTGTACAGTTACTGGATTATTTTTTTCATCGATTTCATTCTTCTCATGTACTAATAAATGCATAATAAAATGAAGCTATCAATTCCCAGATCTGAATGAAAAAAATAAAGTTTTAAGTCAAATGCACGCTCAGACTTCACTGATATCATCATTGTGTCTAGATTTACTTAGAAAGTAATCTCGAGTATCAAAATTGATAGATTTATAAACAATATGAACATATTCAGCATTACTCAACAATTTGCGGTAATATAAAATATCTCCATAGTTCATCAAATTAAATATTTAATTCTAAAAAACAATTTTAGGGATTTTCGTTCTAACTTCTCGCAATGATTTATTTTGAAGATACGTCCGCAAAGGCATCGCATCTAAATTGTTGGTCAAATATTATGATATCTCGAATCATGAAAATTCTTCTCAATTCTGTTCGCAATCTTTGAAATCCAAAGCTGGAATTTTCGTAACATTAAATTTAAGCACATTGATCGCTCAGACCACGTCGGCCTACATCAGTCAAACCAAAATTTTACCATTTTTTGGTTTTATAGCAACTGCAAATAAATCATAGCTGAGTCTATTAGTCAGGTTATGTTTTATTTTAGTGTGATGTGAATTCGGAAGTAAAACAAATTATTCGTGTTTCGCCTCACATATTAAATGAACTGATTAAATATTCAGATCATCAACTAATTCAGCTATCTTAAATCACTAATATTGCTAAAGTCAATTGAAAATTGAAACATTTCTAGCTGCTGTGTATATGTTCAGTAAAGTGAATAAAATGATTTCATCTGATCTTGATTTCAAATTGATTCATTGAAAATGTGTTGATGATTCAATTTTATATTATCTGATCATATTTGTTTGCTGGTATTTTTAAGCTCTACATTGCTCCTTATTACTGAATCTCATTATTCGGTTAAATTAGTCTTAAGCTTTTCAGCCGAAACAATCAGATGCTGAAGCAATTTGTATTTAAGTAAAGATACGTTTTTAAATTGGATATATTTTTCTTGATTATTTTGATAATCTACAAATTAGTTGGTTAACCAAATGATTTAAAGGGAAGTGAATTTTGATCACAGACTTACCTTGAACAAATTGATTGTTTAAGTATGCAATCTGTAAATTGTTAATACAATATCAATAATACATGACATTGATAGTGACAAAAGGAGGAAAAAATTATTGCCTTTAACTAAATTTCCGGCCATGATCTGATTATATCACACGGAACTGATAGTGAATCTAATGGCAATGGCTTAATTGAAATATAAACAATCATTTGATCTCAATCAAATTGGATCGTTACTCTTATGATTGACTGAGCATGAGATAAAAATTAAACGGTTAAAAGATGATCATTACTATTAACTAATATTATCGACATTCGATTATCGCTTGCTTCTCTTAATTGTCACATAAAAACAAGTGACCTGAGACTTGTTTTTCCTGCCAACAAGCTTCATCTTCAAGTTACATGCTCTGTGAGTGGGAGCCGTGAATAAGCCGAAAAAACATCATAAATTAAGGTAAACAGGTAAAGTGTAAACAGAACGATAAATTGTTTGTTTTTATTAAAATGTTTACATAATTTAATGTGATTGATGAATGAAATACACTGATGATAATGAAGCTGGTGAAAATGATGATGATGGCGAAAAGGACGGCGGCAACGTTGATGATGGCGATGATGTAAATGATCATGATAATGATTTTAATGATGGAGATAAAAATTTGATCCTTTGCATGATCAAAGGCAATACTGTAATTGCATATTATTGTTTAACTTAATTTCACCAAGCAAGCTAAAAACAAGACTTAATTAACACTTTCATCTTCTCCTTTTTCTTCTCCTTGCTTTGTTACTATCACCATCCAAGTCATCGTAATCATCGAGCATATTTTCAATTTCTTGATCTAAGGCTGGTCCTGTACTTCCCGGTGGTTTACCATTCATTTTCATTCCATTTGTAGGATCAAACATTCCTTTTGCGGGTCGACCTCCGATGGGAATGGATGTTGGATGCTTCTTATCGGGTTTAGCTTTACCACTCTTGTCGTAGTCTCTACCCTTCATGAATGGTGAATACAAGACACCCATTAAATTACCCAGAGCATAATTAGCGATGGATGTTAGTGTTAATCCTAAATATTTGGCTCCATATCGACCATAAGCAGCTCTGGTAGCCGAATTGTTTGCTTTGTATTTTGATTTGATACTTTCTTCTTCTCCATCTATTCCGGGTCCAGTGCAAGTTCCTGTTTCATCACATTTGGTAACTTGAAGTCCAGGAGAAGGATGAGATGTTGACCCTTGTTCAGAAGAGTAAACATATTCATTTCCATTGTTATTATGATAGCTTTGATGGCGATGATGGTTATGTTTATCACGATGATAGCGTCCAATTGGAGGAGGTGAAACTGGAAGGGCTGACAGTTCAGTTTGAGATGAACCCGATGAATCAAGGGGAGATCCTGGAAAAGATGGATCATTTGGAAATGGTGAATCACGAAAAGAATCATAAAATGAAGATCCATATCTGTCACCTGTGGCACCTGGTCTCCCTGATAAACCAGAAAATCGAGGATATCCTCCATAACCAGTTAAATAGTTGTCTCGATATTGTTTCATTTTATTTTCATCAATTTCAATAGCAGAAGATTCCCCACTAGGATCAACGTGAAGTTCACCTTCATGAACAACCACAGTTTTTGGTCCACCTCCAACTTCAACTTCACGTTCACCATTATATTTTTCCACTTTTTTCACTCCTAAAACTTCATTGACTAAAAGCTTCTTCACTCCAGTTGGTGAAGTAAATGGAAAGCGAGTCACTTGGGTAGCAGGATGATGATTATGAGTATAAAGAGGGGAAACCATAGGATAAGAAGATGGGTGAAAGGGTGAATATCCTGAATAAGATGGAGAAGACAATGGACCATAAGAAGAGCTTGATGTAAACCTAGAATATGGCCGGACTCCTCTCGAAGATGAAAATGACGGAGAATTAAATCCAAATTCATTACTAAATGGCATCGGCGAGTTTGAATCAATCATATTACTTGATCCACCATCTATTGAGTTTCCTGAACCAGATAATGGTGTTAAGATTGGAAATTTATTGCCAGGTGCGGATGAGTGTGGACCGGTTGGAAGAGGAGGACGTCTTCGCTGCCCAGGAGATTTAAATCCTAATGTACTGGAGTACATGAGTGGTGTTAATTTTCCATGTATTGGAACTTTTCCCAGCTCTGGACTTGGCTTCATCCTTTTATCCAGCATTTCAGTTAAAAGGAGTAAAAGTTTTCTAATCTGTTCTTCACTTAACCGGGAAATTATTCGAGCTCGGTTTGCTTCAACATTTCCAGGAGTCATGCCGGCTTGGCTCTCTCCATCTGATGACCATCTAGGAGGAGAAGAGGGAGGAAAAGATGAAGAAGAGGAAGAAAAGGGATTTGGCGATAATGCATTCTTGTTGTTAAGCTGCTCCAGTCCTCTGAATCTGGCATCAGTTCCACGAATTATGGCTAAATTTCGTAAACATTTAGTCATTTCTTTCTTATCAATTGGTGGATTAACATTGAGACGTTTATGGTCATCAATGTCTACATGGTACCTCAAAGCTTTAGGTATCTTTGAATTTCCAGACTCTCGAAGAAGAAACTCTTCACAAACTGAATATTTCCAATCTTTTGAATCACTAGTCAAGGAACTTTTCATAGGATTAATTGAAGATTGAGGTAAACGTTGAAGGATTGGTGAATCTTCAGTTATCTTTTTCTTGCTCTTCTCATTGTATCCGTCTACATCATTAATGTCATTTACACCACGTGAAGGTACAATATCTGAAACTGGTTCAGGCTCTTTACTTTTAGGCCAATGGTTGGGTTCATATTCCTTGTCTTTAGATGATTTCAATGGAACAAATTCCTCTTCAAATTCATCATCGATACTTTCACCCGTTTCATAGTCATAGTCCTTTCCATAGCCCTTGATTGGCTTGTAATGGGAACCAGATTTGTACAATTTGATTGGACTCCTTGTTTTATCCACTAAATGCAGCTTTAAACCATCAGCAATATAATCTCGCGGTAGAGACTTTTTGTCATAAATTAGGCACTGATGCAATGGTAATAAATGATTGATAAATAAAAAACCAATTAAAATTATGTAAATCATGGCGTTAATTTGGGTTGAATGGGAAAACTGTAGATTGTTATTTTCATAGTTCAAGTCTGATTTGGGTAAAAATGTCCTTTTTTCCCTGGTATCCTATGAGCTGGATATTTCTGAAGAATATCAAATAACAGAAAAAACTGAAAGATTAAAAGTAACACTAATACTGAAAATTGACCAGATGAAGCACCAATAAATGAACAACAAGATGACCCAAGAATCTGACACAAACACGGTCGATGTAAAATATGGTGACAATCAGTTTCTAATATTAACACTGTTTAGCACAACAATTTTTCAAATAAGTATCCATTTTAAAAATTGATTGTTCACAGTTTGATGCTGCTTGGTTAAGCACTAATTCAATTCTCAATTTTTACTGAATATTCGATTGGAATCATCTTTTTTGTCTCCCTTTTCTCAGAACCTATCATCTTCATCATCATTTGTATCATTCAAATATCCGGAAAGGAGGGGTTGAGAAGGGAAGAAGCAAGGAGTGATGATGAATAAGGTAGGAAGAAATTTGGTTTAAGAAGAGGAAACTGATTTAATCGTCTATCTTTATCCTCAATTTCATGGTTAAAAGTTACAGTATGTATGACTTATCATCATCATCTATATTTTGTCTTGATTTTGTTATTTTTTTAGGTAAAATAAGCTGCTATGGCTCACTAATCATAATCACTTCTCTCTTAATCAATGTTTGGTGAAGACAATACAGCTATATTTATATTGCATTCTGACAAACTAATACAATTTGCTGTTATCAGTTAAACAAAAATTGTGTTTTCAAGTCAATTGGACTTTACTTGATTGTCGTTCCAGCGGAAAACTCGTCTAATTACAGAAAATTCAGTTCCTAACTAGATTACAGTGAGAGTGTGCCAACAGCAAATGATTTGTTACTTGATGTGATCATTAAATGATTTTATGATTGCTGAAAAAAATGATAATAAGTTCTTGCATGTTGCTGTATGTTTAAATATAAACCAATATGTTTTAACTCGACAAAGCTTTTTGCAAACAAAAAAACCATGATTAGTGATGGATAACATAATTTAAATTCATTCAACGATAAGATTAGACACGACCATAAGCTTTTCAAGCAATTAGTAAGCTAATTACTGATCTCTAATCCGGATAAAAGTGTTAACTCTGTTATTACGATGTTGAATACACATTTGGGAATGTTGGTAAATCACATAACCTCAAGAAATAAAAAGTATTGAAATTGAAATGGAAATCAATTCATAACGTTTTTGGTTGTTCATTTAATTGGTTTATTAAATGATCGTTACCAATATATTAATTTAAATTTACCAATTTTCGTCAATCATCAACAATTGATGAAACATTTCGACTCACGCAATAATTTAAATTAAGTTAAATTTACATTTTAAGGAACAACAATTGAAATCTAAACATGGAAGCAAATGTTGTTTAGGCCAGAAAGAGAAAGAAATACTTCCTTCGATGGTGCAAATTGATTACCCAAATTAGAGTTACAAGTGAAAGATAACAAACTACGGAAAATAAGATGAAGTGAATTAATATCATGTTGATTTTACATGGTTGATTAAACCAACAATTGATGATAGATCATTCATTGTACTCACACATAAAAACCACGATTAAAGTAGTATTTGAGGGAAGAAGTTATCTAATCAAATCCATCCAATGACATCAATGGGTGACTATTTAGGGATTCAATCCAAAATATACTTCTGTACAGAAGTAAACACAATGTGACTACCAAATATTGAAAGTAATGTAATAATCCAATAATTTACAATTTATATCGTCATATACACCTCATAGCAGTAAATAGATTACAAGATTAACCAACTGGCAAATGAAATCCAAAAGATTGAAGGGTAAAGTTGAAACGATACATTAGACACATTGGTTTCAACCAATTTGGTTGATAGGAAGAAAAATAAAAATCACTAAAATGTTTGTTAAACGCTGGTAACTGTAATTGAACCTTGATTGGTAAACCGTTTTCAAAATAATTTAACCTTGAGGACGATGATTAAGAAAACATTTGAAAGACGAAAAGAGTAAGGTTACAATTGATTAAAGGATATAAGTGATTATAATTGAAATTGTAAATAAATTATAAAAGTTGTTTGAATCAATGATTAAAAAATGAAAATAAAGAGAAATCAAGAGTGGTGACTTCTATTATCCTTTCAAAGTACTAATTTCGCTATTTTCTCGTCGCATCTGGACAGATTTAAAAGACAAAGTCATTAAAATTGTTTAATCAGAATGTATTTTAATGTGATCTGCACAATGAGTAAAAATAATTTTTAAATTAACATAGTAATACTTTAAATTTTTTGCTTTCATCTCTTTTTATTGATTTTACTTTCACTTTCTTTGTTTTCCCTGTGCTTCTACTTGCTGTCTTTTTATCTTACTTTTTAGTCTCTGTCTGTCTGTTTTTATCCCCTATACTTTTGCGTATCCCTGACTGCTATTCATTCTTCTGTGGTCTTCTGTCTTTCGCCATTTTGAAAACTTCCCGTATTTTTTAATAAACAAAAACAGTAGTGTTAACTGTAGTTAGTTATACATTTATTTTAATTCAATAATGAAGTTCCAATACAAAGAGGAGCATCCATTTGAAAAGAGAAAGGCTGAAGGAGAGAAAATACGTAAAAAGTATCCTGACCGAGTGCCTGTAAGTATAAATCTGTTTTTTTGTTTCCTCTCTTATAATCCTAAGATTTTTCCTAATCTTTAGACCAGATTAAAGCTCCTTCGTCAAATATTTCTCTGTATCTCTTTACCTTTACCCAGACTTGCTTTAAACTAAATTTTAGTAATCTGTTTGTTTGGCCTTTAAAAGATCTTATAGTCAGGATTTGGATTTTTTATTCTCTCTCTTTTCCTCTCTTTCTCTTTCTTTGTCTCTGTCTAATCTTAGTTCTTTGTTTTCATTTTACTAATTTTTCCCCCATTGTTTATTATTTTTGGTTCAGGTTATTGTCGAAAAGGCTCCAAAATCTCGCATTGGTGATCTTGATAAGAAAAAGTATTTGGTACCCTCTGATCTTGCTGTTGGACAATTTTATGGTCTCATCAGAAAGCGTATTCATCTTAAACCTGAAACAGCTTTGTATTTCTTTGTAAACAACGTATTTCCCCCCTCATCAGCAACCATGGGATCTTTATATCAAGAGCATCACGAGGAGGATTTTTTCCTTTACATTGCTTACAGTGATGAAAATGTTTATGGTTGACAACTGTCAATAAATCCCGAGTAAACCAGTAAATAAGACGAGAATGAGTACTTCAAATTAAACATTAACTGTTTGAGTGGACTACGTCGTACTTTGTCATAAATTGGTACAACTGCTTGCTGAGTGGTTAAATAAATTGACACATATGATTTGAAGTTATGTCTTGTAGAATTGTTCTGACAAAAATACTTTTTCATTAAAATTATATATAAAGTAGATACATATGCAATTTTTATAAATTTATTTAATTAAAAGGTATAATTAATTGATTTTGGATTATGATGAAATTTCGAAACAATTTTCATTCGTTTCAAAAATTTCATCATCTAATAACAAGAGACCAGGTGATTCCTCCAGGCATCAGGCTTAAAATGTAAATACCAGGAACTCTTTCAATTGAATTAGGTAACATTCGAATGCTGTCCCCATCACGAATATAGAAACCCAATGGTCAATTCGAATAGTTTTACACAGGCGAACTCATTGATGACAATAAATGGAACAGGTGAATGTTTTGGTTCAAATTGCTTTTGTGACATAACAATTTTTTATCAACCAGGACATAAACATTGTTGTTAATTCGTTCATTGTAGAACAATGGTAACCTCTCCAATTTTACTAATAAACTAGAGAGGTTGATAATCACTGATAGTAAAAATTAGTCACATCGACAATAATTGATCAAGTATTGATTACTTGACTTTAATAAGTTATTAATAGTTGGAGCTTAACGTTTAAGGGAAAGTCTGTAACACATTTTCATAGGGAACTCAACACATGTGATAAGTGTGAAATTTAGTCAATTTGTGTTTACAGTTTTTTTTATTGCAGAACTGTCTGTTGACTTAATAGAGTGTTTTTAAAATTAATGAAATTATTTATAGAACGACAATTATTTTCCATTGTATTTTATTTATGTTAATTACTGTCAACGCTTTCTTTATCCCATCGGCTTGATTCAGCTATAAACACCGAAAAACTGTTTCTCGATATGAGTGAATCTACTGAAAATAATTCAAACAACCAACCACTTAAATCAAAAAGTGACACCATTGATGGATTATTACACAAATACACAAATGTAGTGAAAGGCTGGCAATATCGGTGGTTTGTCTTGACACCGTCAAGATGTACACTGGAATATTATATGGTAATTGATATTGTTATTTTTCTATTACAATTTTGATGTACCGATTCATTACTCATTAACTATTCTGTCTTTATTTTCAGCCAGATGAAAGGAAAAAAGTTCACCCAAGAGGATGTATTTACTTGGCAGGTTGGTTTACTATTGATACCTTCTCCAAACGAAAGTCAAGATATCCGAAAACAAATTGTGCTACATAGGTTTGGCTTGGAGAGTGATTATGAAGATTCAAGTAACCTAAGAATAGTGTCCAAAACTTAGTTTTCTTAACCTTTTTCTCCTTAGCTGCTCAGGTATATTTTATTGCATCTTACGAGTCAGTAAAATCTAGTATACTTGTTTATCTTCATTATTTGTTCTGTTTCACGCTCTCTGTCTCATAAATTTATTTGTTTCTCTTCTGTTATTATTGTCAGTAAGATCAGGCTTGTACTTTCCATTGCTTTTATCGACTACATTTCGTTTTCGGAAATTTTTTCAAATTTGGTTGATTGATTTTTTCACTAATTTAATGTTTGTTAATTTATTTTTGTTTCTCTTTATTTAGGATCTGTGATAGCACCGAGTGATGAAGACAGTCAAACCTTCACTGTGAGCGCAGCTTCTGGTGAAACATACAAATTAAAAGCTAGTGATGCCAATGAAAGACAACGTTGGGTTAACAGATTGCGGCAGGTTGCCTTGGCACATGAAACAACTTTAGAGCAATTGAGTATATCAGGAGCCCGATCTCAAGAAGAAACCAAATCATCATTAAATGCTGTCACCGATACCTTAATGCAAGCTCAAAAAACCCAACGAACCTTAGTATCAGCAATTGAGGCCTACACCTGTACAGATCAACATTTATTAACTCTTAAATCGCTTTCTTCGTCCACTGTAATGTCGCTTGAGCAATGTTTTGTAATATTACATTCCATTGAAGGAAGACGATTGAGTTCAAAATAATAATGATAATTAAATGTGGAAATTTCAGTCCAATGCAACATTTTCTTGCGATACTTGCGATAAGATGCGAAACTAATAGTTATAACAAATAGCTACAAAAAAAGTAGAATGACACTAAAATATGGTCGCAATTCAAATTATTTGAATTTGAGGCTTTTAACTAAAATTACAAATAAACGGAAAACGAATCAGACACAAGATTCTTTAATAATAGATCTACAGGCTCATAAATTTCATCAAAATAGACTAAGCATTAGTATTATTTTGTTGCTACATCGGAAAGTACATCAGTTAGAAACTTTTCAACTTGAAATGTTTCTTGGGAATAATAATTTAATAATTACACAAAATGAAATCCTAAAATACTAATTAACAATCTAAAGTTTTGGGATTTTCAAACTGGATTCCATTTAAGGCTCCTAGTTTATTTAATTATTTTGATTAAAGCAAGATGTCCGGAGCTTAATTTTGAGCAATTTCCTGATCCAGTTTCAGAAGTGACTGATTTTTCGCAGACATGGATAATATTCTTGTGGGTCAAACTAAACATTTCTATGTTTATTTAAGTTTTGTAATACCGTTTATGAGAACACCGCAATCGTATGAGCAATTGCATATTTTTGCTAGCAAGAAGCATGAGGACCAAACGCTTATAAAGCATACCTTGGCAGCATCATTGTTCATTTTTCTGCTTTCGGAGCCAAAGCGAACATATTTGTTTTTATTCTGATTGATATTACCGATTCGATTACTAGAATCTATTATAACTTCTAATGATTTTCCCACAAGATTATACATCAGAAATTTACTTAGCTTCTGATGGATAGATATTGCCGTATAGCAAGTAGCACTGTAAATTCAAGATTCTGAATAATTTAGGCTCAAAATTGGGTTTTGATTGATTTTTATTGACTGTTGTTTGAACTTTTCCCAAAATTGGTAATGCATTGAAAAGAGAAACTGTAAATCTTAAGACCAACTTAAAGAAATTGATCAAGTAATCTTTAAGTGGTATCCGATCAAAATCCAAAATCAAATCAACCTAATAGATCGTGTTAAGGTTTTGGGCTCATTGTTTTATTTTCACCCAGTTTCAACTTATAAGTGAAAAATTATTACACAAAGCAATAAAGCTGAATAAACAGCGGATTCTGATCACAGTCATCTTAGTTATATAAACTAAAGTGAGTTTAATCAAGAAAGAATGGTTAATAAAGCTCAAATGCATATTGAATTTTCAATGCTTTCTGAGTTTTAGCTTGTTAAAATTCAACTTTTAGCTACAAACTAAATCTAATTAACCAGGTAAATTTGGTGTTTGTTGTGTTTTTGTGGATCTAATTATTCACCATTATTCAGCTGCTATAGTTGCTTCTCTGTAACGAAAAGATTTTAATTTCACTTTTTTGTCTTCCTTTACACTTGACGAGGAGATAAAAATAAACACAAACGGGCCTATTTTACATCTCAATGGGTAAACACGTTAACTGTAACAGTAGCTCAATACGCTTCATTGGATTTTTAAAGACAAAAATTTAGGGGCTGATGAACTTTAATCAGCTCAATTGGTTAAAAGCAGAATAATAAACATTAAAGGGTAAATAATTTTCTTGAAGAAAGTCCACATTTTGCCGTTAATCATTTTTCTTTAAACTCAATGATACAAATAATGATCATGATTCTCATTGAACCTTAAACAGCTACACCAGTTGAGATGTTTTCATCCCTTTCCCTCTCTCCTTATAGCTTCTCTTATTACAGGAGTAGATTTTAATTCAGTAACAATCAGTAATAATCAACATATAATACAAAAAAATTGTCTTTCACCTCCTTTTTTCACCCTTTCTGGATAATCATTCACTTCACCCATCAACTCGATGCTATCAGCTAACATCAGCCAAATCTCTTGAAATCGGCAATTTTTTGGTCAACATTACCAGCTTTGTTTTACTGTTGTCGCCATTGTCCATCATCTTGTAAATTGAATCTTGTTAATTGTGTGTTACTTTATCTTTATTTTCCAGCACTGCCACATTAAATCTCAATAATGTTATCAATGGAATCAATCATCGACGCTTATACATGGCACGTTGATCCAATAACCCGTTACTTCTCATTTTACCAAGGATTTCCTTTTGTTTCAGTTTTCATTGTTATTAGCTCCATAATTTTAACCAAGTTCATATTACCCATTTGGATGTCAAAACGCAAGGAACCTTATGATACAAGGCCTGTCATGTTCATGATCAACGGAGTCGACTTTGGTATATCAATTTGCGGATCTTTGTTGATCTACTTCTCCTCGCCTACACGATTGGTGGGCTTTACATGTAAACCTTTATCACTCGATGATTTTACCCATATTGCTTATCGATATGCTGGCGTTGCATACTTTTTTGTCCTTCTTACCATGTTGATTCGACCCATGCTTCGAGTCCTTCGCCATCAAACAAAAGGAGTCAATGCATTGACTCTTCACTCAATCTTTTTACCTTTTTACGTTTACTACATTCTTTTCTGGGAATGCACTGAAGCTGCTCTATTTTTACCTTTCATCGAGACTGCTGTAGGCTCTTTAAGAGCTGGATATTTCATCTTGACCATTTCAACCGACAACTCAGCCAAATATACAACCTTTCGTCGGTTCGTGATTATGGCTCAAATCATTCTAGGATTCAGTCTTCTTTTCCATGTGGCAAGTTTAATGGCAAATCCAACCTGTAGCAATTATTATGGAATCAAAACAATGGAAACAATTTATGGATTCGGTTACGTTTTCTATGGATTCTCAATTCTCAACAACAGAAATTTCAAGGCAAAAGGATATCGAAAAACGAAATAAGCTAACATCTATTAGCTTAGATTTTTAGATTTCAGTTGAACTTTTATTTCCATATTTTTAAATTTTTTGATAAAACCACAATAAATGAATTGTATTTTTTTACTGCTGATAAATATTGAATAATCCAACTATTTTTCAAACAACTGTCATGTTTTATGATTGAACCAGATGATGATGAATGAAGGGTTCAGCAGTATTAGAGTACAAATCAATGAGCTGCAAACAATTATAAAATCAGTAAAATGAATCGGTTTGAATTTTGCTTCAATGAAGAGTTTATTTTTTAAAACATTAATTTTAATGTTAATTGGTAAAAGTAATTTTTTTTGTTGATATTTTGATATCATTCAAATCAGTACAGGACATTTAATGACAAAAATACTGACGGAACATTAAGACAAACATTGAAACAATTCCAAAATTATGAGATAATAACAAATACAAAAATGACAATATTTTATTTTTGATTAGTGGTCCTGGACCATAATCAAAAGTCACACACACATGATCTAAGATCCATTAAGAAAGCTAATAACATAAATAAGCAAATGATGAGAAGGTCGGTGGAAGTTGGACTTCCTTCACTCACCGTAAACTGTATAAAAAAGAACAAAAAATTATTAGTAAAATTGAACAAAGAAGCAACGCATTGATAGTAATTTTTTGCTCAAATCTAACAACATGTAAGTTAAAAACATCATTCTACTGGTAAGAACTCAATCCAGCGTAAATGCGAATAACTACTTGGTTAACTAAAATTGAGAAAACTTGTTTAATACAATATTTATATTTGTATGAGTCTGAAATTGGTATTTTCTGATGCATTAGACTAGTTTCAAAGATAGAGCAATGTTTTTTGTTTTGATTCTGTGAATTTTATAACTGATTTGGTAGGTCCTGGTAGATCCTATCAATTATGACTGGACAAAAAATTGGATACAAATTCAACACAGCCAGGCTATAAATAAAACTGCTATGTACCTTATAACATTTATGTAAATTTGATATGTGTTTCTTCCAGTTTAAGTCAATGAAGCTATTTGAACATTAGAACACATGAATTAGAAAATTTGATATGCTCTGGGTTTTAGAAGCACTTACGAGATAAAATGTTGAGAAGCTGAGATTTGTCGGTAATACCATCGAGGTCTTGAATCAATACAACCAAACAATGAAAGAGTATATCATCCTCGTCAGTAATTTTGAGTACATCACGAATATAGGTGATAAGATCTTGAACAATAGAGTCGACAGATTCAAGAGTAATTGACTTTCCATTTAATGGAGTACTTCTTGCTTCTTTACCAGATCCATCGGGCTCTAGAATTGGATGAAACAAATGGAATACGTATGAATCAATATGTTGATGGAAAGTAACTTCATCAGGTTATAATGCTAACTTCACGCAAAAAAGCTCGCAAAATAAGACAAAACTTACCTGTAACTTTTTTCTTGCTCTTGTTCTTCATACGCTCATTGTAAATTGCAATCATATCGGCTCGCTTACCAAGCCTAGCTTCTTCAGCTACCCCATTTCTCTTGATATATTGCATGTCAGCCATATATTCTTGTCGCTCTTTTATTTCTAAGCATTTTGGACACTCACAATATCGAAATTTGCAGTGTCGCTTGTGCCCTGGAATGAAAATAATTAGACAATTAAAAGAGTTGAATACGTGTAATCAGTTTAGTATTTCATTTTGAAAGACAGACTTATAACATGAGAAATGTTCAATGGCAAAAAGGATAGAATTGACTGTTATGGTTATAGCGTTGAAATGAGCATCATGTAAATTGATGCATGAGACTGAAAACAAACGGAAAACTGAAGAATAGAAAGGTATGATCTAGATAAATGATCGATAGTTAAAGTAAAAGCATACCTTTAAGCAACACCTTAATACCATGGCTCTGGCAAAGAGCACAGTTGGGTTCTCGCTTCTTCCTCTCCTTCTTTTCCAGTTTGATCATTGTCTGTTTCATTACTTTAGACTTATTCTTGAAGATTGAGCAACCAAAAATGGTTCCAGTTTCAATGATGATTGGATACGAAACTCCAAAGTTATAATTAAAACTGATGATTAGAAATCAGCGTTGATATGGCACCATGAATATTAACCATTAGCTCCAAACCACCAAGAAACTCACCCAAGAAAAAAAACTCAAAATAATATAGCAATGCTATAATAGCATTGAAGTTTCAATAAAATGAGCCTTTGAGGGACTGTTTCTAAATTAAAAATAATATCTCGCTATCCAAACTCATTGAATTCATCAATTTTGTGAACAATTTACATTTCTCCTCTGATAAAAAATTGAATAATTTAAGGCCAGAGTAAAAATCTGAGGGAAATTAGGGAGCTGCAAATTTATAAAAATCAATATTTATACTCGATTAGATTGGATTTTTTCATTAAAATCAATTTTCTCGTATTTTTATTACATAATCTATTAAAAAATTAGCCTTTTTTCATTGAAGCAATCTACAATCATAACAGTATGGAATCGAACAGCCATTTCAAGACAAATGCACAATAAATTTGATAAAACTTTCAGTATCCATTGAAAGATTGAACGTCGCGAAGACTGTTAATTGATTGGTTAAAATAATGGACACATTATTTGAAGTTATGTCTGGTAGATTTGTTCTGACAAAAATACGTTTTCATTAAAATTGATATAAAGTAGATACATTTGCAATGTTTGTAATAGTAGCCATCAGTGGATTCAATCATCATTTAGAACTTTTAATGCAATAATACTATGCAATAATACTGTGCAGTATTACTATGCAATAATACTGTGCAATATTACTATGCAATAATACTGTGCAATATTTACTATTTAGTTAATAATCCTAACATTGTCATCGATGCTTCTAAACAATATGTTGATGGAAAGTAACTTCATCAGGTTATAATGCTAACTTGACTCAAAAAAGCTCGCAAAATAAAACAAAACTTACCTGTAACTTTTTTCTTGC